GCAGCCGGACGGCGGCGGGCGACGCAGCCGCGCTGCCTCCCGGGGAGCGCCGGGGCCGGGGAGGCGGGAGCTCGGGCGGCGCTGCGGGGTGTCTGCGCTCCTTGTACCCAAGCGGGGATGCGCTTGGCTGCGTTTGGTTTCAGAATCTGAAGGGTCTCCGCGGTTTAGGGTTTTTAGCATGTATTAACCGCGTGGCCTTGAAGCGGTGTAGTAGTCTAGTTGCGAGGTCAGCGGCGGAGCTGCTTAGCGTTCTGGTCCATAAAACGAAAATAGCCCCCGGATAATGTAGAAATGGGAAAGAAACAAGAACAAAAGATAAAGTGCTAGCGTACCAATAGAAAAGTAAGGACTCTTATCCAAAATACTGCTTAGGGCCGGCCAAATAGCTCAGGCAGTGGATTAAAGCGCCTGCCCGCAGGCACGGGGGCTGGGGGTTGGATACAGCTGCCGTGCTGGCAAGTGAGTCTGGGCGTGGTGGCGCGCCCGTAATCCCAGCTCTTGGGAGGCTGTACACAGGTGGATCACTACGAGTCCGATCTAGTAGAGACCCTGAACACCCTGGAGACCCTTCCCTAAAATATAAAATAAATAAATAAATAACAAAATACTAGTTAACAATTCCTCGCTGATCCCAGACTTTGATAACTGTTAGAAATACAAAATAATTAGTTCTTTTGAACTCTTTTGGACTTGTTTTCCTATTTTCCTCTTTTTTCCCGAGTTGTGCTTATTCATATATGAGAGCAGGACAGAGAAACACAGTTTGGACTCCTGTTTGGAATGTCCTAGTGATGGACACTGCCAACTTTTTCTTATTATTTACAATAAACGCTCCTAAGTTCTTTCTTTGGTTTGGAACTTTATTCTTGGACTTTGTGAAACCAGGACGCAGTCCCCTTCTGTGGTGCATGCCTGACTCCATGTCTGCGTTTGTATTACTCTCTTTGCTTTACTTGAACAGTTCTTTGTAGGTTGTAAGTTGAGGTGTGACTTGTCAGATTGCTTGTAAGACTTAAGTTTGTGGGAACCAAAGTACTAAATACCCTGGCTCAGACATTTTACTGTGTTTATTATACTGGTGGAATTGATTCTCTTCTGGGTCTGTTTTTTATAGGTTTTTGAGTTGCACTGCCAAATCCCCCTCACCTGGGTGTGTTTGACTAAACTGACTCCTCGCCTTGGAAAGCAGAAGAGGACAACTGCTTCTTCATTCTGTAAGCTGACGACAGCCTCCAGTGGAGGCGGCCTTGAGAAGTTACTGCTGGTTGGATCCAAGAAGTGTGCACAGGACCTGGAGTGCGGGGCAAAACTTGTTTATTACCTCCCTGAGCAGCAGAGAACTTCTGTTGATAGAGGGCCACTAACGCTAGAGAAGGCCACCAGTTGTCTTCTGGACATGGGTTTCAGTGATGTGCTTATTAATGAATTGCTTAGTATACAGCCACATGCCAGCCCTCAGCAGTTGCTGGACATCATCTCAGAGTTTATACTCCTGGGCATGAATCCAGAGACTGTGTGCATGGCCTTGAAGAAAAACCCCCAGTTGCTGAAAATGCCCATGGTGCAAGTAAAGAAGCGTTCCAGTTACTTGCGAAAGCTCGGCCTCGGAGAAGGTACGAGGAGATGGAGATCTTAAAGAATATGAGGAGAGGCCGAGTTGGGGAAAGAATAGCTTAAGATGGGCTGGGTCGGGGGCCTGCCCTGTAGCTCAGTTCTTTAAGTGGCTGCTTCAGCAAAGCAGTCAGGCTCAGGTGGCTGTGGTTGGATCCCCACAACTCAAGTCAGCCAAACCTGCCCTGAAGGCATTCAGAGCAAAAAAAAAAAAAAAAATGGGCTGGGTTAACTCAGTCTGTCCTAGAAGAGATGTGTGATGCACGTGAAGGAGTGGCCTCTGCCAACGGCACTGCAGTGGGTACTGGGGAGGTCAGTACTAGAGGGGGGAACCGAGGGCCATCGCCTGGGGTGTGCTTACTGAGGATCTTGGTGTCCCAGGATGGTGCTGCCACATAGTCTGTGTTCGGTGGAGTGATGCTGCTTCGCGAATGTAACACGTGTGAGCACATAGATGTAGCTTTTGATGTGAAGCCATGCTCAGCGCAGCCTTGGCCCACGGGTCCATCCCTTGTAGGCTTAGTCCAGCTAAGTGTTGATTTGCTGTGGAACCTGAGAGATCTTGCCAGACTCCTGGGAAGCTGGGGGAGTGCATTCCTTCTGGCTCTCCTGCCTTCCGGACAGTGTGCACACTTCAGGGACCTGTGAAATTTCTTGAGTCTCTTTAGGGATCTTCTGCAGAAGAGGGAGATAAGGCCCATGAAGCTCTCCGAGGGTCTCCACCCACTTTGACCAGAGGAGTTTCCGTTATTTCTTTTATTGACTCTTCCTGGTAAGGTGCAGGGGTAGCAGAGGTTTAGGGCTCACGATTTTTCAGGGTCTCTATTGGCTTCCTTTAGAACATGAATAAAAAGGCATCTTTGTGTATTTCTCTTAACAGATTTATTATCTCTTTAAATGTAATGTGAAGTCTAAATGTGAGAGGCTGCATGCTTTTATTATTAACTAGCAAACTCAGGACAGCTGAAAACAAATGAAAATAAAGCCTAAATGATGAAATCTGTTCTTCACACAGTTTAGTAAAACACTGACCACCTCATTTGTCCAGAGGAAGACTGCCCCAATTTGCCTGGGATAGTTTCATGTCACACCAGTTATCTTAATGCATTTACATGGTTTGGAGAAAATGCATGGTTTTCCAGACAGCTAGGATGTTGGTGCTTGTGATACCCATCAAGATGCTGTTATTTCCATTGTCAGAACTTCTTGGCACTGAGTCGGGCCCCCAGGTCTTAGGATGTGGGCTGTGAATGCTTTAGTGCTTCTTCTACTACTGAGGAAAGCCAGCGCTCTGCCACGGGAGGAGCTACTCCCATGTTTAATCTTTCCTATAAATCCCTGGGATATTCTGTCTAGGTGATGAGGACACAAGGAGATGTAGAATTTAAAGTTAGTATTGTAAGCGAGTTGTGACTCATGCCTGTAATCCTAGCACTGGGGAGGCTAAGACAGGATCACCCTGAGTTCAAGGTCATCCTGGGCTACATAGTGAGTTTGAGGCTGGCCTGGACTGCAGAGCAAGACCCTGTCTCAGAAAAAAATTGGCATCTTCAGATGGGAGGCGAGTCGGCTGGGCTAGTGAGTCTGAGATGTCATTTCCATGGTGCTGATGGAAGGCGTGTCTGAGGCCTGCTTGTTCATTCATTTCTTAGTTAGCGCTGGCTTGAGCTTCAGGGCACAGCTAGCCCTAGGTTTCTGAAGGGCTCTGAAAGTATGTGCTCTCCTGTTCTTAATGACATGCAGGGAAACTAAGGAGGGTGCTCCTCAGCTGCCCTGAGATTTTCACCATGCGTCAGCGGGACATTGATGCTGTCATTCAGGTCCTCAAGGAGAAATGCCTTTTCACGGTGCAGCAGGTCACCCAGATTTTGCACAGGTGCCCCAATGTGCTTCAGCAGGATCCCAGTGAATTGGAATACAAATTCCAGGTAAGAGAGATTGGCAGAGTGATTAGGCAAGAAATGGGAACGTTTTTGGGTTTCTCAAAACTAAGAAACTAAGGTCAGTTCTAGATCAAAAAGCCTTGCTGGGTGTGGGGATGCAAGCTTCTCTGGGAAGCTGAGGCAGGAGGAGGCCCCACATGTTCAGGCCCAGCCTGGGCAACTTAGTGACGTAGCAAGAGCCTATCTGAAAATTGAAAAAGGGCTGGGGAAAGTAGCTCAGTGTGAAGACACTAGGCTTAATCTCCAGTACTGCAAATGAATAGCCAGCCCTTGAATATCCAGATGAGGTAGGCTTTTACTCTCCTTCCACACACTTGCCAAAAAGAATGTGGTTTTTTTCTACTTCTCCACTCTAGATTAAACTGTTCTACAGTGTTTTTCCATCATAATGAGAGTCTGTGGGGGACTCTGAAGTAGGAAAACTTTCCTGCCTTTAAAATCTGTTTTGTATGTTGATTTTTTTAAAGTTGTGACAATTATTTTAGTAAGTTGTGACAACTTGCCTCAGATTCCTAGATATTTTATGAAATTTTTCCATATTCAGTTTTTCATTTTTCCATTTAATTTTTCTCCCTGACCTCTTTGTTTTCTGCTGCATTTTTTTTTCAATTGAACTTGAAAATGCTTTGCTATTGGTCAGCTATCATATAAATGTTAATGTCATAGAGTGAATATTCTGTGGTTAATTAGGCAGCTCTTGTTGAATGTGTCTGGACAACTTGTTTTTATGAATTCTGGGATGGTGAATTTTCAGATTTTGTATATGGGATTCATAAACATATTTGTATCTTCCAGTATGCATACTTTAGGATGGGAATTAAGCATCTGGACATAGTAAGGACTGAGTTCTTAAAGTACTCATTAACCAGGATCAAGCAGAGACACATTTTCCTGGAGCGCCTGGGACGGTACCAAACACCTGACAAGAAGGGGCAGACACAGATTGCAAACCCTTTACTCAAGGACATTTTCAGAGTTTCAGAGACTGAGTTTTTGGCCAAGACAGCCTGTTCCTCTGCTGAGGAATTTACGGTTTTTAAAAAGCTCTTGGCTCAGGAGGAGGAAGAGGAGCCCGAGAGCAGCATGTGTAAGGAGGAGGAGGAAGGAGAGGAAGAAGATGGTGACGAGGATGAACAGGAGTTGTGATGTAGACTGGGGCAAAGCACCCGGGGGCCACAAAGAACATTCTCAAAGCTTTGGGAAGCTTCACTTGGATCCTTTCAAGTATTAAATTCTAACACCGATCTTTTGATGAAAAAAGAAAAATAGATGGACTGCCCAGTATGTGGATAGGTCAAATCAAATAGGTGCTTTGCTGTGATTGTGGAGTTTTATGGGGCCGCATTCCATTCTAAATAAAATACTGAGCTCTTACAATTCAAGGAGCTCAAATCCAAATCTGATTTTCTTTTTCTCTGTTAAAGTGTTGGTGATAAGTCCATGATGTTGTGGAACATAGGTGCCGACTCCTTGTTCAAGGGTCACTTTATTTCTTTTAGGGGATAAAATCATGAGATCGTAAGGGGTTTTGGTACATAATAACACTTTATTTTATGAAATCAAATAGGTTTCCCACAAAAATACTCATTTTAAATCCAAAAATATCTTATTACTGCATTCATTGTACAGCAGAGTGAAAGGCAGTTGGTTAGTGATGTGTGCTTTCGTTTTGCACCATTTCCTTGAAGTCCCTAAAGCACAGACTTTATCTGTAAAGAGCCAGCTTTTCCTGCTCAGACAAGTGGACCTCTCTGTCTTCCTCTGGCTGTTGGTCACCTACGGGTCTGGTGTCTGTGGCCCATGGCCTGTGCTGCTGGGTTGTACTGGCTTGGAGAACACCAGGGCTGAAGGGTTGGGGAGTGCTCTTGGACAGTTACCCCCTTTGTGAGCACAGGCCCAGGACTGGTGGTAGGATTGTTCCAGGATTTTTTCCAGACACCCAGATATGGGCCTCACACGGGGAACATGGCAGGTGTGAGGTGCTGGGGATTGGGCTGGGTGTGCTCTGGGGTGGGGCCTGGCTCTGATGGCAGAATGTTGGGCCCAAGGACTGGTGGCTCCTAGGGCATTCCCCTTCTTGGGGAATTGCACAGAATGGGTACTGCATAAAGCATCTTTGGTAATCAAAATTTGAGTTTGCTTGGTGGCATTTTAATAGCCATATGAAACTCCTCTGATGCTTGGGCTTCTTCCCACAAAGACACATTAAAGATCCTGTGAAGCCACAGCTCTTGACTCTTGGGACATCTGATAGATTTGGAGACCTTTTTGGTTGTAATCACTCGGGCGGGGTGCTCCTAGGATGTAGTGAGTGGTGGCTACAGAATACCCTATGATGTCCAGAGTGGTCCCCAAGACAAAGGCTGATCCAGTCCCAAAGATGTTGAACTGAGAGAACACTCTGAGGTTTGGCCTGGTCACTGTTAATGGAGTCTCATTAATTGTGTTTATTTATATTTAAATGATCTGAGCTGTGTTTTGTTGTGTTGCTCTCCTGCAGGCTCACACTGGGGCAGGACTGCAAAGAACAGCAGTAGCTCTGTGACTCCACCCGTGAGCCAGTCATGGTGGCAGCAGTTTTCCATTGGTGCAGGAAGCTGGGGCCCTTGGGATTGGGCTCCCCACAGGAGCCAGGCACAGTGAAGGTGTCCCATTTGCTCCTGGCAGTGCCCACCAGTGGGGAAGGGAGAGTCTTGTCTGGCTGGCTGTTTCTGGCCAGGCGGGAACTGTGAAGATAGCCATTTTGTACCTGTGTTCCTGCTTCTTCCACTTCGTAGATCTGGGTCCCTGTCACCTCCCTGAACCTTTGGTGTTGCTCTTGGGCAGCAGGGCTGGTAAGCTCTTGAACCCGAACTTGATCAGATGGTCAACTGAGCCCATTTTAATTGGTGAATGGTGAACTGCACAACTCAGGTTGCTTCTTTCATTCCAGCACAGAAGTAAATCTTTGTACCCTGCTAATTTTCAGGTTCCATTTGACTCATCTGTCTGGCTGAATGTTGAATGTTTCTAGAAGCCACATAATCTTAGGAAGAACATATGAGAACACCAGTGGCAGCTCCTCTGAGCAGGTGACTGATGCCCACAGCATCAGCCCCTCTGCTTCTGAAATAGCAGACTGGGTTGCTCATATGACCACATTGTATAGTGCTTAGCACCCAGTTGCTGTCTTTTGCTGAAGCAGTGATTTCTAAGTTAAAAATTGAAGCCAGGCATGATGGTTCATGTCTGTCATCCCAGCACTCAGGAGGCTGAGGCAGGAGGATTACCATGAGTTCAAGGCCAGCCTGAATTAGTGAGACCCTATCTCAAAAGAAAAAAAAAAAAAAATCCCCAAAAGAAATACATTTGCACCTGCCTAGTGGCTGATGGCCAGAAGGTCACTAGCACAGTATAGGAAGTGGCATCTACCATTAGTGATGTCCATTTTTCCTGTTGCCAGTGCTGCTGGAGCTTGTGTGGAATGGACAGGTGGGGCCTGATGCTGCAGTGGACACCAGCTGTATATATCTGCAGACCTGGCCCCTCCTACCTTCACCAGTCTCCGCCCCTGGCTCTCAGAAGACCAGGCAGTGTTTCTAGCAGAGATTTTTTTTTTTTAAATGGCTGTTCCTCATCTGGAAACGACAGACTGCATAATAGACATGTGCATGTAAAGTTTAATAAAAATAGATGACCTAAAATACAACTTTAAAGAATATTTTTATAAATGAATGAAACCTTTGGGTGTGGCCAGGCTTTCTGAGCAAGGGTCTGGATAGCATTTTTATAAATGTGCACAGGTCCGGGGCATGACCTCTCTGTCTGCAGCCTCAGTGAGCATCGATCGTGGGCCAGTCTGATTACCCTGCTTCTGTGAAGGAAGTTGTATTGGAACAGCCTGCCCATCCAGTTGTACCTCTGTGGCTGTCTGTGCAATGGCTGGCTGAGTTAGTGCCACAGTGGCCTGCAAAACCCAAAGAGCACCTGGAACTTGATAGAAAAAGTTCCCCCCATGTACAGATTAAAGCTGTCTTCGCTCCATGTTAATAATGGCAAGCATTTCATCTTTTTCTGTCACACTAGTCCAGACAGCATGAACCAGAGGATGGAGCAACCTCCCTGTGTCCACCCTGTGCATCCTGCCCTTCTGGGTTTTGGAAGCTGGCAGAGGTCTGTCTGGTCTCCTCCATGTGCTAAGGCTCGAGGGAGGCTTCTGTGAAATGAATCTGCGTGCTGCAGAAGCCCTTCCACAGAGGCGCTGCTTCGCTCTGTGCACTGCATCCCTCCCCACTCGGGCACAGACCTCCCGGAAACCGCACCCTAGTGTAGGTTGAGGGGCTTCAGAGCCTTACGGGTGGCTGGTCCTGTGGGAGCCCCTCGCTATGCCGGTGTGTGTGTATGTGGTAGTAGTCTCTTCCGGAGGTCACAGAAGGGGCTGGCTCCAGCCAGAACATTGCTCTCAGGGACTCTTAATGGTCCGGTTGTCAGACCTCATCTTTCCAGGTTTTAGTAACTTTGAGGTGGGTAGACACTGACAGGCACATTCCAAATCCTTGGAAGGAAAAACAAAGTGAGGTGTGAGGGGGGGGACAGCACACTGCCTCCTGTCTACATCTGCCTTTTCTGGAGGGTGCAGGCACTGTCCCCTGAAGAAGCCATGATCTCCCAGTGAAAGAATTCCAACCTGGCTGTGTAGACAGGCAGGGGCTGAAGGCCCAGACACCCTGACTTTGGGGCTGCCTGTGCTCAGCCTGGAGGCATCCACTGAAATCCAGAGGCTGCTTTCCTCTACCTCTTCCCTTGGTGGTGCTGCGAGGCTGCTCTGGATTAAAAAGAATTTTTGCATTCTTGGATTGGTGTCTGGGTAGATGTATTTTTTCCTCTTTATTGTTTGCTCATTGTTTCAAAATAAAAGTTCTATAAATCAGTATTTGATAATTGATTGGTTTGCATAGTTTTTATAGAAACATTTACTAGGTGAGGTCTTAAAAGATACACATTAATATTCTGGGTGCTTTGCCATGAAGTATTTCAAGCCCTGAGGATGTTTGTGAAATCTTGGTCCCTACCAGGACTCAATCACTTGCACACCTTGGAGTACTTTGTGTGTCTTTAGAGACTGCAATGAGAGGGGAGAGAACAGGAGCTGAGGGTTGGCAACTGCTCACGACAGACTTTACCCTGAACCGGCCTGGCTGTGTCACATGTTGTCCCGTAGCATTCTGTCCACCCTGTGCATCCTGCCCTTCTAGATTCTGGAAGCTGGCAGAGGCTAGGATTCTGGTCTTCCTCTGAGAGCTTGTTCTGTGGAGCTGTACCCAGTGTGCCCCATTGATGTGGAGCCCTCATTGGTGTGAGACCATCCCAGGAGCCCCCATGGTTCTGGCTGGTTTGTGCCCTCTGCCTATTATTTCCTCTTCTCCTCAGCTGTGGGAGAGAAGGGAGACCACCCCTGAGGTGGCTCCTGACAGAGGAGACTCCCGCCCTCCAAGGCCAGCTTGTCCACGGGTGGTGCAGGCAGCTGCTAGAGGCCACCAGGTTTTCATCCCAGTGACACTGTGTGGCTGAAAACGTCAATGTGGAGTGGGCTGCAGGCTGCAGGTGGGTTTCTGTGGCCCCACACAGTATTTTCCAATCAGTTGTGGATAACAATGCTCTTTAGGAATCACCCGAGCTTGTGCAGGGAGGTGAGCCTGTGCAGAGGAGTTTGGGATGCTGGATCCAACAAAGGTGGTGTTTCTTTGATTTCAGAGTAGATGATGTGAGGAATACCAGTGTCCGCTGCCTTCAGGACCTCCCACATATCCCATGACCAAGCCCCATCCCATTGTCCTTTCAGTAGAATGCCATTCACAGTAGGATGCTCTTCTGGTACCGTGGGGCTCTTGGCCTTCCTTACCCTCCCACCACCTACTCTGGTTTCTCTCTGGGGCCCAGCTGTTCTTTGGGGAGGGGGTCTCCATCCTCCAGGGCCCCTCCAGCTGCTCTCCTTCCCTGGAGAGAGGGGGGCTTATTTCTACCTGAAGACAACTGTGTCTGAAGCTGATCAGGTTATGCCTGCTGGGAGGCATGGGTGGGATTCCACAGCCTGCGATCGAGGTTGTAACAGCAGGGCCCACTTGCTTCCTGTGACAATGCCAAGAGGAGCTGCGGTGCTTGGCCTAGAGCAGGTGTCCCCCTTCCCTCTGCCGACAGCTCTCAGGTTAGCAGGGTAATGTACCTTAAGGTTTCTTCAGTGTTTGACTGTCACTTTGTTTCCTGAAACAATCAAGAAAAGTGATTTAAGAGGAAGACATTCATGTACCTCTCATCATGCACATCCCCCATCCAGGATGCCGCCCCAGTTCAAGTGCAGACTTGACATTTCAGTGTGGGCCGCTTGCCTGGCTCCAGGGGTTACTGTGGAAGGAGAGGGTAGCGGCTGGCTAGATGTGCATCAGGGAGGCTGGAGGACAGAGGACAAGCAAGAGCTGCCAGGGGAGATGGAGCTGTGCCCTGCATGAGAGGCACCCTGCAGCCTTGGCCTGGTACCTTGTCGTGCTAATGGGCTGTGTCTGTGGAGGGGTGACTGAGGATGAGACCCCACGTGACAGCAGTGAAACCCCAATCAGCAGGTGTTCTGCGGCCATCTCAAACCCTCAGAGAAGAAACATAGATGTGAGTGCAGTAAATGAGGTCCCTGCGTCTGTGATTCTGCACTTGGGCCTGTTGGTAACACACCTTTCACTGTGCACTGTGTCTGTCCTGTGTGTGCACACGCTGCTGGCCTTCATGCCCAGCCTGGTGTGGACACAACTTGGCAGGCATGGCCCCAGCTGTGCAGGGGCAGCATTTCAGGGCCCAGAAACCTGGCTCTGCCAGCCCCGTCACCACCTTTGATTACCACCCTGTGAGCTACATGTAGGCCTCCGCCAGGGCCCCAAGATGTACCTGTTTGGGGTTTCTTGAGGCTTGTGCTTTCACAGCGCTCTTTGAAGCAGACATCTTGGTGAACTTTGTAGACCCTTTTATACCTGTTGTCACAAGAAAGCTCTGTGAAACCAGAGACCAAAGTACAATGTTGCCCAGCTGCTTGGCTTAAGCTCTGTTGACCAAGGTGATTACCAAGGTGTTTGAGGGCAAGACCACTGTTTTACTGATAACATCTTACCTCCTGTGAGTACATGAAATTGTCTAATGTAAAAGTCATGTGAGTCTTAATACATTATCTTTACAGAGTATAGAATACATACGATGTACTCGCTTTCAAGTGTATGTTGAGGAGTGCTGATAAAGCTGTATGACATTAGAAGATACAGTGTAACACTTAGTGACATAACTTTGCTGGAAGCACACCACTTCGAGTCCTTGGGAAGGGGTGGTCCTGATCTTGTCTTTTTGGGGATTTCATCGGGAAGACTGAAAAGCGTGCACATGTGAACTGTGAGGACTAGGAGCCTTGATTCCAAGCCTGCCGTTTCCATTTATTAACCAGGCTACTTTGAGTAAGACTTTAACTCGTCTCAATATTATGTAAAATGGGAGTTCTGGGTACCACCTCTCTTGCAAATTTATAGATGGCAGGGATAGGAGGAGGGCTGAGCCACATAGTAGCTTGCTGGGAGTGCTGTTGCTCAGGCCAAGTCTGGTGAAAACTTTGCTAAGCCTGGGGCTTGCGCCTCCTGGGGTGGACTCCCAGTGAGCACAAAGCATATGAATGTGACTGTTGAACCAGATGTCTATCTGGTTGGCTTCAGAGCTGCCTAGATGGTTGTTGAAGAACAACCTTGGGTGGGCCATGAGGTGTGACCTTGGACACTGGGCCCTGGCCTCCTCCCTGTCTGGTGCAGTTCCTCTGCTCTGCTTCACAGCCAGCATGGCCTGAGCAACTTGGTGCCACACCACACCACTGCACGGTGCTGTTTCCATAGTGGAGCCTGCCAACCCCGGACTGAGTGCTCTGAAACCATGAGCCAAGTGAGGCCTGCTCCTTTATGTTGTGAATGTTGCATATTTGGCTCCAGTTATGGGAAAGCTGACAAATATGAAAAAACTATTTTCTGATTGTAGGAAACAAGTAATCTAAGAAATAGACTGCAAACCCTTAGGAGACAGATATGTAAGTTGGGCCCAGTGATCACGCTGAGCCAAGACAGACTACAGTAGGGAGGTAGAGGAAGCCAGGAGTAGTGGGCGTTGTACTGGAAGAAAGGCACTATGCAGAGGGGCCGCCCCAGGAACCAGTGCTGCAGGTGAAGCTGCACGTACACACAGTGAGAATCTGGGAGGCTGTGTGAAAAGGACACAGGAGCAGCGTCACGCTACAGCTGGAGCAGAGAGATCTCATTGAACAACCAGGGCTGAAACTAACCCAGAATAAGCTACTCTAAAGCAAGCCTTGGGAGAATCAGACTACACTCAAAAAATGCCTTGCAGAAAAAGTCAGTGGTCTTGAAAAAAAAAAAATCTAGCACTCAGCAACATAAAATTTAGTTTGGATCCATGAGAAAATTATAAGACATGTAAAGAAACATGGGCAAATATGCCTCATAAGTGGTAGGAAAAGACGGAAAAAAAGAATGATGACAGAAATCACAGGCGAGGACCCTTTATTCCATTTTGGTGACTAAGAGAAAGGTGAGCGTAAGAGAGGAGAGGAGTGCAGGACCAAAGGCCGAGCTCAGTGACAGGACTCTGGCTAAAGTGAAATTCTGATTAATAGAATTGACAGCAGATTATTAGATGGTGCAGAAGAAAAGATTATGATCTTGGACACACAGCAGTAGAATCTGCCCAACACTTCCAAAAAACTGAAAAGGGCTCCAGGGATCTGTGAGACAATGGTGGCCTAACACATGTAGAGTTCCAGAGGAGAAGGAGGAGTTGAAGGACAGAAAAAAATAGAAAAAATGGCCCTGATGTTCCTAACTGGACAAAATCTAAGGCCCCAAAAGGTATAAAAAGCCTCCATTTCAGAGAGTAAGAAACACAACCATACCAGGCACATCATATTTAACTTGGCCAGAAATAGTGATAAAGAGACAACGTAAAGACAGCCATGGAGTGAGGAGCACATGCTGGACACAGAGCAACCCCAGTAAGCATGACTGCAGTCTTGGCTGGCACTGCAGGGCAGAAGACCAAGGGATGATGTCGATGAAATGAAAAAAGAAAAGCCATAGCCATCAACCAGCGATTCTAGGAGTTAATATGGAATCCTAGACCATAATCCAGGATAGGAAAGAAGAGGCAAAAATTTAGAGATGGGACAGATTTAAATTCAGCCATGCCAGGTGTGGTCACTGCAGACATGGGAGGCAGGTGCGTTACTAGGAAAAGAGGAGGAGGCATCTGTTAAGAGAAGGGTTCTCCTTGGCAGGCTCTGGGCATCCGGCAGGGTGGAAAGACTGAGAAACTGTGTGGATGGTCACACCGCAGAGCCCAGGGTCACGGCTGGCGCCTCGTCTGGGTCAGACACCTGCATCTGCCTGCGGGGACGGAGCCTGGCTTGTACGGAGCCCATGAAGCTTCCTGCCTTTGCCCCTTTCCCATCCTCAGAGCACTGTTAAAATGTAATCACATGCCACTCCTCAGCTCAGAAAACTTTGGAAGCCCCTCCTTTTGTGAACAACACATGCCACAGTCTTCCTGAGAGTCCCCTCCCCTCCTGCCACTGCCTCAGTGGCTTCAGCCCCACTTGACCCCTGCACTGCTCCTCAGACACACTGGGGACACTGGCAGGCAGAGCCACGGGGATAGACAGCCTGACCTTCTGGAACATTCTCTCGGATCCCCACCTGATCCATGCTTGTGCATTTCCTCTGTGGGCCCACTTGGACCCTCCTGCCTCACCCTGTAGCATGCCTGCTCGCTCCCACTAGGTTCTGCTTCTCTCTGCACTGCGCATCCTGCTGCTCCCCGCAAAGGGGCAAGTGCTCTGTGGGGCCTGGAGCTGAAGCCACTGTGAGTGTGACACAGCCACACATGTCTGCAGCGGTGGTCCCCAGAAACCAGCATCGTGTCTCCCACAGCCTGCTGGCCAGATGGAGAAACAGCACGGGTGATCTGTCCGTGCCTGATCTGTCTGTGGCTGGTCTGTCCAGGGTCTCATGCCAGAACTGCACTGGCTGTAGGACCTTTGTCCCTCCTGTGGGTTCTGCTCCTTCTCACCCTTACGCTCGCCTTGCAGCCATACCTTGCTGCACTGTGGCTGCAACTTGGGGCCCCTGTCTGACTCTTCTCAGGCCTCTCTGGGATTGGTGGTCTCATGTGCCATCTGTTTCCCAGGGAGCTCTGAGGAAGGGAAGGGACAGTCAGTCTTGATGTCCACGTGGTGTAGCCCTGTGTCCAGGGGGCCCAGGGTGTGGAAGAGGAAGCCGAAGTCCTGGGCCCAGGGCTCACCTGTGGGAGCCTAGCCAGCTACTCAGCTTGCTACCGCAGGCTAGTAAGGAACACTTGGGGAAGTGGAGGGCTCTTCCATGGGGTGAAGCTCAGGGCAGGCAACTTACACGTGGTGGCAGACGCCTCCCTCCCAGACTGGAAAGGACTTTGTTTCCGAGAACAGCCTTGTGCAGGGGCGAGGCACCTTTTCACAGGCTGCGGGCACAGAGGGGACAGGTGGGGGCTTGGGAGGAAGCTCAGCCAGAACAGAGCTTTCTACCTGCCCCCATGAGCACCCTGAGGGGGAACCTGGGGGTCTGCACTGCCTGCTTCCTGGGATAGAGGTCACCTTCCCTTGAGCTGTCCTTGCATCCCAGCTGGCTTTGGGACAGTCTAGCAGATGTGTGCCTGCCTGTTGGCCACCCTTGGCACACAGTCCCAAGGCAGAGCCTATATTCCTCCTGCAGGTCCTGCTCCTTCCCTCCCCTGTGCTCGCCTTGTAGCCACGCCTTGCTGTGCTGTGGCTGCTGCTTGGGTCCTGTCTTAACTTTTCTCAGGCTTCCCTGTCAGGTAGCACTTTTCCTGTGCTTTGGTGGCTGCGCAGTCCCCCATGGTTCCTGGTCAGCTTGGAGGTCTCAGCCCATCAGCCTCTGGCCCTGGGCCCCTCCTGCAGACAAACCCACCTGTGCCCATCATGCAGGGCTAAATCCCAGGTCCCACATCATGGCCAGCCCTGACTTACCGAGCTCACAGCGCCTGCCTTTGAACCCTGGCCCACAGTCACAGCTGTAGGTGTTTATGCCAGGCACACAGGTGCCTCCGTTGTGACAGGCATCTTCTGAGCAGCTTCCCTGTGCACCTGGAAAGAGCCAGGAGAGTCTGTTGCTGGCTGGCAGGCTGCCCGCCCCTGTGGGTGACCCACTTCTTTTGGGCCTGGGGGTAGTCTCATGCCACGTATATGGGGAGAGGGCAAGAGTGGAGATGGCTTCCGTGGCCTGGGCCTGACTTCTGACTTTGCCCTGCACAAGCTTACTTCGGTGTGGAGCCTGAGGCCCCCGCCCACGTCAACCGTTTCAGGCCAGGGGCTTCTTCCCCTGTGGCTCGCCCCAGCAGCCCCTGGCGCAAAACTCTCTAGCTGTCCTTTGCACTGATGTCTGTGCCCTGTAGTGCCATCTGCCCACCTCTCTGTATGCCTCTACCACATTGCAACAACCTGCTGTTGCCCCTCTGAGTACCTGTTGCCCTCAGCTTCTGTCCCTTTTTTCAGTTTTGTCAAGATACCTGTTTCATGTTTTAACTGAAAAAGCATTGAGGAGAACAGCAGAGTGAGCATTAGGCATCACTTAGCACAGCTAGTGCTGAAGAGGCTCAGTCTCCCCCATGTGGAATCCAGCCTTTCCCCAGCTTGCTTCTCAAGGGGCTCCCCAGGGCCAGTGCCAGGGTGCTAGGGAAGGCTCTGGCGGCCACTGCTAGCCAGCGCATCCTCACCTCCCAGAATTTTTTCCCCCTCTTCATTACTGGAGATTGAACCCAAGACCTCATTGAGCTACATTCCCATTTCATCTGCCTTTTTGAGGCAGGGGCTTCCTATGTAGTTCAGGCTGGCCTTGAACTGGCAGCAGTCCTGCCTCAGCCTCCCAAGTGCTAGGATTATAGGCATGCAGCACTGTTCCGTGTACCAACTGGAACAGTCCTGGTAAATTGTGAAGGTGCCAGGCTGGGCTAGAACTTTCAATCTTTCTGCCTTGCCTCCAGAATTCTAGGATTATAGGTGTGTGTCACTGTGCTCACCTGGAGGACTTTCTTTCCTGCTTAAAATGAGTTGTGGTCTTAATGCAAAGAAAATTCCTTTATTTCTGCCCCTACCCTTGTTGGCTGTGAAGAAGCCGGCAACAGCTTTCATCTGGCCCATTCTGTGCCTTCCCACCCTTCTGTCACCTTTCGAAGAGTTACAGAGCAATTCAGAGGCAGCACTTCTGTCAGCCCCTCACAGATGTCTACACCTGAGGACCACAGTGCCGCGGTGGCAGGTGAGCACAAAAGAAACTCCAGGCCACCTTCAGATCCCCCTGTCACCAGGTACAGCCATTACACCCACCAGGGCCTGGGGCCGTGTCTGGCAGACCCTTGGGGCCAGTGAAGGAGTCAAGGGGAGCTAGCTCGAGTCCTTATTCCTCAGTTTCATGAAATGAACACCAAATACTTAGATAGGCTGATATAATGAAAACCACCGGAAGGGATGCCTGCTTCGTTCCACTCCAAGAAGAACAGTGTGCATGCTCCCAGGAGGAGCTGTACCTTCATGGAAGGACATCCTTCCTGGTGCCTGCTCACTGGCCTACCTCTGCTTCTCATGAGCCATGAGCCCATGAGCCCCCTGCAGTGAAGGGAGGCTGTGGACTGGACATAGTGGAGCCATTGTTTGCCAACACCCCTTCTGCATTGCAGCTGTGCTTAGGGATCAGCCTCAGGGCTCACAGCTTTCTATATGATTGGCTTTCTTTGGGGTCAGGAGGTTGGGTGAGCCCAACTTGTGCATGGTGTGACTCAGGAGAAAAGGTCACGGGGTCTAGTAGAGCCTTCCAGGTAGGGCCAGTGTCTGATTGGGTTAGGCACATCATTTATCATGCTGTCCACAGGAAAGAAGCCTCCTTGGAGGCTTCCTTGGCTGTGGTGTCATAAGACAGAGCATTAGCCCAAGGGCCATGAAGGCTCTGTGGACCCCACACACTGGCCCAGCCTGGTCGGGTGTCTCCCAGGCCAGGCCCACACTGTGTGTGCTCCTGCCTCTGACTGACACTTTCCTCACTCAGCACGGTAGTACAGAGCAGTGAGGGTGTGGGGCTAGGGGGACAGCTAATGGGGAGACCACTTTTCAACATGGCTCAGGTGGCCTGAGTGGGTCCCGCTCCAGCCTGCTCCCTGCTACTGCCTGTGGGGGCCAGGTGCCACCACCCTTTCAGAGGTGGGGGATGTCTGGCTGTTCCTTGGGCAGGCTCTGTGCCTCCAGACTCCTTGATGTGGGATTCCTCACTGGTGACTCAAGCGGTCAGTCTCCAGCCCCTCATGCTGCTGACTTACGTTCCATGTCCTTGTTGCTGTGCTCAGGGAGCTGCAGGGCCAGCTGTGCCTGTGCAGGGGCCTCCTCTGTGTTCTCAAGTGGCACCAGGCTGGTGGGTTCTGAGAGGGGCCAGAGGCATGCTGCTTTGTGCCCAGGCCTATCCCAGGTGGCGCTTTTGAGCAGCTCCCTGCCACCCACCAAACCTTGTGCTGCCTCCTGTGGAGGACTGGGTCCCACCCTCATGCTGCGCCACAGCAGGGCCTCCCCCAGCAGCTCTGGAGAGCCTGCAGTGACCTGCTCTACCAGGCCCTGCCTTCTCACAGCCACTGCAGGGGCGCCCTCCTTGCTGGGCTCAAGTCCACTCCCATCCCTCTGTCCCTGCTCCTTGCAGGCTGCTGCACTCTTGGCCCCCACTGCAAGTCACATCTACCTTACATCGACTGTAATGGCTTTATTTTGGACTTCCCTGATGTGCCCATCTGCAGCCTATGTCCCCAATCAAATGCTGCCAGTGTGGAGGTGCCTTACAGCTGACCCCTCCCAAGGTCTTGGCTGAGGAAGGGTTGGATGCTGGGGATTTTTACACCCAGGTTGTAAAAGCCAAGCGGGGAGTTGTACTGAATCTGTCCCAGGTGGGCCACAGCACTCACGTGATCTTGAGGTGACCAGTTTGCGGGGTGGACCACTAAACCTGGCGCTCACATGTCCCCTTCCGTCCACAAGCTCCAAGAACCTGCAAGAGCATGGGTGGCAGGTCACTGTGGCTAGAGCACACCTTTGGGACCACACAGCTGGCCAGGCATGTACCTAGGTGGTTGGGTTGGTGCCTCAGGGAGACTGTGGTCATTGAGCAGGTGCAGCTCTGGCAGGCGCACAGGGGCTGGTCTGTTCCTGAGCACCCGGGGATGGTGTCCTCCTTGGTGCCAGCGTCTGTCACTGCCGTCCCTGGGGGCTGTGGAGCAGGCAGGTGGAAGGCAGCAGCCATAGGGCTAGCCTGGGCTGCCCTTGCCCTTCCCAGCCTACACTCACTCTTCCTGCTTGGGGAGGGAGAGGTGCTGCTATCCACCTGGGAGGCCACATCACCTATGGTGCCCTTCTGCATTCAAGACAGCAGCTTGACATGGGGACCTGGCCCAGGTCAGCTGGTCTGGCAGCGTTTCTGTCAGCTTCCTGCCTGGCTCCAGCCTGCCTTTCCCAACCATCTCATCCATGGGATGCCTGGGGCCAGGAGCCGGGGAGTGGGAGGGAGCAGCTCCACTCTCCACTCTGATCTACCTGGCTGGGCATTCAGCCTGGGGTTCTCCTGCTCATGTCACTGTTCTGTCCCACCCGCTACCCTGCTCAGGTAAGCGGTGCTCACAGCAGCCCTGAGAACACAAGTAGGAGAATGTGTTCTCCTGGTGGATGTCAGCAGGGCCCCTTGGCCCTGGGGAACAGACCCTGGTTCTTGGTCTCCTGAGCCCTTTCCCAACTGCTCTCACTCTCTGGGCAAAACAGCCTCCATCTCCCAGCCCTCCCAGCTCCCAGCTCCCGTGGCTCGGGCCCAGCTTACAAGGCCACTTGTGGGCCTTCCCCACACTCCCTTTTGGCACCTGCTACCTGCCCACCTGCCTGCTTGTCTAGACTGTCAGCGCCCCGGATGAGTCCATCCCTCCTTTCTGCAGAAAGCCCCACCCCCACCCCAGCCATGCAGCACCAGGCCTGTTCCCAGGCTGGCTGACATCTCAGGGATCGCATGGCCCATTTCAGGTGAGGGGCCTGGACAGGGACCCTCACCACAGCATCTGACCCCTGGGCTGGGCACTCACATGTGATGATGTAGAGGTGTGCGGGCTCACTGTGCAGTGGGCCCTGCTCTGTGCCCTGCACAGCTGTCACTGAGAGCTGGTACCGCCGCCCAGGCAGCAGATCACGCACTGTGTAGGACACCAGCTTGCCGTTGGGGACATAGCGGCTCTTGGTGCTGTGGCTGGTGGTCACATTGATGACATAAGCCTCCAGCGACACTCCTGGTGTGGGGGCATCCCAGACCATGTGGGCAGAGGTGGCTGTGACACGGGAGGCAGTCAGGTTTGCTGGTGGTAGGGGCCCTGGACAAGGCACAGACAGCAGAGGCAGGTGAAAGACTAATAGAAAGCGATGTGCAGGGACAGCCTAGGCCATGAAAGGGATTGCCGAGGCCTTCCTGGGAGCCAGATCTGCTTGTCGTAGACAACAGTGTAGTCCTGGGAATGGTGGGGAGAGGATAATGGGGGGTGGGCAGGTAGGGGTCCCTGCCACATGGGCCTTCCACTGCCTCCCTGAGGGGGGCTATGTCCAAGGGAGCTCAACCGTCTCCATGAGGGAGGTCCTGTGCAGACCACTGGTCCTCCTGGGCCTGCTGTGATGTCCCACTCCATCAGACTCATCCTTCCCCGGGCACTGCCTGCCCACACCCTCCACACAGTGGGAGCCTCGTGGCCTGGTGATACCGGGGATTACAGGCAGAAGGAGCTAGTCACACAGACCCAGGGGCACCCTCAGCCCAGGGAGCACTCAGGCTCTCTGGTCAGCCAGCACAGTAGCCCCTCCTGCAGGCCCATGGCAAGGGACCTTAGAAGGCCATAGACTGGGTTCCTGGCATGTGGACACTTGGAGGAGAAGGAGGAGGCCAGAGCTCTGGGAGGACATCATGTGGGCATGGAGGCTGCCTCCTACTTACGGGTCCACACGTGCAGCAGTGCTGAGGCCCGGCTCTCAGAAGAATGCTCTGCTCCCCCAGGCCCACTGAGGGTGGTCACCCACATGGTGAATCTCCTTCCTGGCAGCAGAGTCCTGCAAGAGGAGGAGGAGGACAGGGTGTCCAGGGCCTCGGAGTGGCCAAGGTGTCCTGCAAGTGGGAACCAGGCTGGTCCATGAGAAGCAGCTCTGCAGCCCTTAGGCCTGGTGACCTGGTAAAGATGGAGAAGGGTCTGGCACCCTGAGGGCAGCTGCAGTGTGGTCAGAGGGGCAAGGCCAGAAAAGGGACAACAGACAGGGTCACTGTGCAGGGTTGCACAGCCAGCCGAGGACTACGCCTGGGGAGGGGACTTAAGGGGTCCTCACTGCCCTGTAGGTGAAACGCTCCCTGTGTCTGAACAGTCTACAGACTCTGTGGTTCCCACTGGGACCCCCTGGGGCTTGGACTGTTCATGTGCACTGGCACGAGGTACTGTGTGTCCGGCCCTGAAATGGCCTGGGTATAGGGCTGATGGCTCAGAGCCTAGAGAGTAGCCCAGCACTCACCCTGCCCCCTCTCTGTGGTGGGTTCTGGGCTGCAGGAGACGCTCTGTGCTGAATGCTCCTAGTGAGCCCTGCTGGAGTGGTCTTGGGACTAGGACAGCCAACTCAGGGCTTTGCTGGGTTCCTTCCATAGGCCACCCCAGGAAGTTCCTTGGGGGTGAACCTATGGCGTGTGTGCTGCAGGTGGGCATTTGTTATCACTGAAAGGTTCATCATCACTGGGCTAACATGGGAATCCAGACAGGGAGCAGCAGGTTCTGGTGGAGAATGGAGGAGGAAAGGGTGCCCCTGCTTCCCAACCAGGGCAGGGCAGAATCTGCCCAATGTGGCTGTTTGGTAGCTGGACTCCATCAGGGTCAGTCGGGGGCAGCTCTTCACATACCAGCCTGTGTGCCAACCCGAGGGCTGCTGTTGGGGAGCAAACCCCTCACCTGCTCCTGCCCCTGCAGTGATGCCGGAACCACAGGGGCCACTGGCCAGACCCCCTCTCCTCTCCTGATTTTCCTCCAGGTCAGTGGCTACCCCATAGGGTTCATCGTGGGGCCCTGGACAAACACCAGGCTGCCCCCACTGGCCAGACTGAGGCCCCAGAGCTGAGGTCGCTTCTCTGCGCTCCAGCCTTGTCCAGGTGGGGGCAGTGGGTACACAGAGCACAAACCCATGTCTCCACTCACCCAAACGTGAACTGGTCCATGCTCCTGTCCACATCGGTGGCCTGGGCCTCGGGAGCCTCTGGGTGGAGGATAGACACACGTACCCTGCTGACAGTGGCGTGGTGGATCCTGTGCAGAGCCCAGCGTACTGAGATGGTGTTGGCTGTCACATTGGTGACCTCGAAGTCCTCCACAGGGCGGGGTCCTGGGGGCAGCAGGCTGCTCAGCAGATGCCAGCTCCTCCTTGCTCCCGGGGTGGGGGGCTCAAGCCAAAATAAGGTTCCACAGGGTGCAGGGGTCCCAGGGAGAAACTGGAGAAAGGCGCCCTTCAGCTGCCTAGTAGGGACTTGGGTATAGGCGTCCAGGTGCTCCTTCTGGGAGTGCTGGCCCAGAGCAGCCACGGTGGCACAGCTCTGGAGCAGCCAGGACCCCAGAGCCAGGCCAAGCAAGTCTCTCCCCCTGTTTAGACATGCATGGCAGGGGTAGATCTTCCAAGTCCTCCTAGCCCAAGCACCCCCTTTCTTTGTGCTGTTTGATGTAGCAGTGGACACCTGGATATGGCTGGACATGCTGGCCCAAAGGATAGAAACAGCAGCCTCCTTGGGGATTGCAGGGAAGGGTCACTTTTGAGTTCAGTTCCCTATGTACCTGGTGTCACTGCACAGGAGCTAGGGCGTGGCCAAGCTCAGAGCCCAAAGGCAGCCCTCAGCCCCTGGTGGTTGGGTACCACATTCAGAGGGTGGACATGGATGGTTGGTCCCTCTCATACATCTGGTCTCCGGTGGAGCCCCCAGTCTGATGGGGCAGGCTTTCTGAGCCCAGGGCAGCCCTGAGCTCCTCTGTAATTCCAGGGGCCTGGCCCATGGCTGCAGGAGGGTTTCTCACAGAAACACTCCCGGAGTTGGCACAAGTATCTTCTTCCTGACTCCTCCACCCTTTCCCCACAGCCCCCCGCTCCAGACCCCCAGCGGCTTCAGCTGGTTCCACTCAGATGCTTGAGGCCAGTGCCAGCCAGGCTGCCCTCCTCTGTCCCTGACGTCCTCCTTGCTCACACACCTCCTGGAGCAGTGCCTGCCAGGGCCCCTCCCCAAGGGTGGTGTCACTCACGTGTGTGGCTAAGCAGTGCTGCGGGACGACTGATGTCGTTCTTGTTGTTGGTGTTGCGCTTGACCGAGAAGATGGAGATGTTGTAGGACCGGCCAGGTGCCAGGGCCCGCAGCTGGTGTGAGGCGCGGCTCCTGTCCACAAAGTCCGTGCGGCGGTAGGAGCCATCAGAAGAGACGTAAGTGACTGCATAGCCATCCAGCACCTGCCTCGCGGCGGGGCTGCTGGGAGCGCTCCAGGAGATGGAGAGCCCACTCTCCTCCACTCTGTCCACCCTGAGGGCCGTTGGTGGGAGGAGCTCTTCAGGGTTCCGGCCAGACACAAGGGAGGGGCGTGGTCAGCTGCCCGCTGGGGAGACTAGTGTCGGTGCCTGCTCTGGTCCCTGGGGCTGGGCAGCTGGCTGCTGCTGGCCGGGAGTCCTCTCCACGGGCCTCCACAAGGCCCCACAGGCTCCTGTCTCTGCACCCGGGCTGTGTTGATGCACCCCTCCCCCAGCCAGCACTGCCTGTGCCCTCACCCTGGGGACCACTCTTGGGTGGTCCCCAGGGAAAGAGAGTCATCTGGCCCAGGTGCCTGCCCCTCCCCAGGGGTGCCCCACTGGCTCACCTGTGCTGCAGTCCTTGCCTGTGTAGCCCACCTTGCAGGTGCAGCTGTGGGACCCATTGCTGGCTAGGCAGTAGCCTCGGCCCCCACAGGGGCTAGAGAAGCAGGGGTCACTCACTGTTGGGGGGTCAGGAAACGTGGGGTTTCAGTGAGGCCTTTCCTACCTGGTGGGCATGAGCGGAGCTGCGATGGTGCCTGTGCTCCACCCAGCCTCACCACATGCTGGCCCCATCCCATGGCTCCTGTACTAGCAAGGGGACTCCAGGGGAAGGGGCAGATCCAGGGTGAACGGAGTGCTCCAGGGACTGCCAGACGGTGGGATCCACATGGGTGTGGCCAGGCAAGGCCTTGCGAGGAGGGGCCACATGCGGGCTGATGGAGTCGCCATGACCACAGGACATGGGGCTGTGAGGAGTGTGGCCTGTGCAGGCGTGGCCTGGGCATGTGCTGGGGTGAGAGGAGTTTCTGGTGAGGGAGTGCAGCAGGCGCTCAGAGGCACCAAAGGGACCAGAGGAAGGCCTCAGCCCAAGAAACAGCTTTTGGGGGACCACTGCCCTACCTGTCTCACAGTGATAGCCGAAGAAGCCCTCTGGGCAGACACACAGGTAGGCCCCGCCACCATCCTCACAGCGGCCTCCATGCAGGCAGGGGCTGGAGTCACAAGAATCCACCTCTAGAGAAGAGCCAGAGAGTTGGCCCGAGCTGGGCAGGGGCTTCTGGGAGAGGGAGGAAGGATGGCAGAAGGACAGGGCAGCGGGGAGCAGAGGTTGGCGGCGTGGACAGCTTCCCTCTTCCCGGGGCAGCTGCAATCCCATGTGCCCCTATTTCTGGCTGGACCATCTGCCCATGGCCTGGGCTCCACACATAGGGACACACCAAGGGGAGCCCTACCTGTCTCACAGTGGACTCCAATGAAGCCCATGGGGCACTGGCAGATGAAAGCCCCTGTGGGGTCCCTGCAGACACTCTCACTTGTGCAAGGCTGTGTCCGGCACTCATCTGTTTCTACACAAGACACCCCACTGACTGCACTCAGAGCCCCACATGTCCTCAGTAGTCTGCGGCCCGGAAACTTTGGCCTGGGGCTGGCATGGTGGGCCTCAGCCTTCCCCTCCAGCTGCCCCGCCAAGGTCCTCATCGTAGGCACTCCTGCACTGTCTGCAGCTCAGAGCCCCCACTCCAGGCTCTCCTGGACACTGTCCCAAGCCCCCTCCTGGGCAGTGTAGCCCCCCTGGGCAGTGTCTCTGACTCAGGGTGGAAGCCACACACAGCCCTGGGGTGAGGGGCCCGCCCGGCAGCCACACGCTGAGCCAGCCTTCCTGCTTCCTGGCAGGTGGCACTGAAACCTGCCCACCTCGCTTGCCAGAGCTTTTCAGCTGAGCTCAGTCCCTGGGGTGAGGAGACAGAGACATTTGTAAATATCTGTCCCAGATAGCAGCTGGCAGCAGCCTGAGGGAGCAGAGAGCGGTGTCTGAGGGAAGGGTGGCTGGTAGGGTGGCCATGCCTGGGGCCCACATCTTCAGCTGCCACCCGTGTGCCAGCCCTCTTACTCTTACCCAGCTCGCAGTGGGCTCCCTCATACCCTGCGCTGCAGAGACACTGGTACCCAGCAGTGTGACTCTGGCAGGAGCCCCCATTCAGGCAGGGCTGAGACTGGCACTTGTCCACTTCTGTGAGAGAGGAGAGACCCAAGAATAAAGCTGTGTGGCAGTTACAAGGGTGGGTGCAAATGAGGCCTGAGGAGTTGGAGCCCATGCCATCCCTCTGGTCCCCTGGAAGGGTGCGTCTGGGCCTGGATACTTTTGGAGGGGAGGTAGGACTTTGGTCCCAGGGGTCAAGCATGGCCTGTGTGTGCTGAAGGCCTGGAGCACTCATGATCACCCCCAGCCTCTGAGCACACAGTGGGACTTAATGCCCACACCATCAGGCGGAAGGCCCAAGGGCAGGGACGTTTCGTGCCGAGCTTGCTGTTTCTATCACTAACAGCTGTGGAAAAGAGACCATTTGCGGGCTGGCTGGTAGTTTTAAGGAACTCACCATAGATTTCTTTTAACCCATGTACTGTGTTCCTGACAGTGTCTATTTACAATGCCCAGAAAGTAAATGTATCAACGGTAGTGACCCCACCCACCCTGGAGCCTGGAGTGTTCATCTGCTCCTGGCCACGCCCCTCCAGGATGCCAACTTCTGTGGTTATCACATCTTTGCCTTTTTAAAGTTAGTTGTCAGATTTTATAAATTGCCTATCCAATATATGGTGCTGCTTTTGCTGTTCATGAGTTTTATTAATAGAATACCATAGAGCATGTTCTCTTCCCTTCATCACTAAGGGTTCCATGTTGCGTTGGGTGACAGCACTTCCTGAGGCTTGTTACAGGTGCTCTGTGGTGAGCACCTCATGCGTTCTCATAGGGCAGGCACTGTATTGCTTCGTGGTGCTGCTGTGAATGTGCTCTCACACCCGCTCGAGGGGATGAGCAGGCTGCACTGAGCTGTTGCTAGAGGCGGAGCTGCTGGGGCTCAGGCTGTACCGATGGTGAACTGCACAGGGAAGCTACCCAGTGATTCAAGTCCTGTGCCAACGCCATTCCCACCAGCAGTCTCTAAGCAATCTGTGGGCCCTCACCCTCACCCACACAGCCTGTTTAGATGTTGGAATTTTGCCAACCAAATATGCTTCGCTCTTCTTTTGACTGGCATGTCCCTAATTACTAATGAAGTAGAATATTTCTTTTTATTTCATTGGCCTTAAGTTTGTTTTCCTCCATGGACTGCCTGTTCATGTTTTGCCTGTTTTCCTACTGGGTTATTCCCCTTAGTTTTTACTTATTCATTGGTGCTCTTATGGTTTTCTAATCAGTCTCATATATGTGCATATATACACACAGACACACATGTAGACTCCCAGGTTCTAGCTTGTGTGTCACTTTCTTCTTCAGAAGTTAGGGATTTAAGCTCCTCATTTTTATGTAGCCAAGTTTTCTATTTAGAATTGCTGTGTGTGGTGAATAGGGCACAAACGTATTTCTCTGCTATTTTGTTGTAGTCACTGTGCATATTTTCTTGTGTGGTTTTTTTTTTAAGTTCATACTTAATAACTCTTACACTTATGTCTATAATTGATCTCTGCCCTAACCAAGTGGGTCTTTTTTTTTTTTTTTTTTTTTGGTCCCTCTTGTTTAAAAGCATCCTTTTGTCATCTGATGGTGAGGTTGCTATCAAGAAGTCCGATGCCAGTCTGACTCCTGTTCCTTGGGAGTAGTCTGTTTTTCCCTCTGGCTGTTGCAATTTCTTTTTCTATTAGGCCATGACGTCCTTACATTCTACTCCACCACATTTCCCCTTTCTTCTGAGTGGTCTGTAGGGCCATCCCGATGCGCCGTTCATTGGTCACTCCGAGATGAGCTCCACAGCTGCTCAGAGCTCGGCCTCATGTCCGCTCTCTGCTCTTGATGTCTCCCCTTGGTGAACTCGCAGCAGCTCTGCCTCCACAGCACCCCTGCTTCCCTCTTCATTGCTATCCACTTAGAAACTAGGCTTGCTAATTCAACTATTGTGGCTCTTAATATTTTAAAGGATTATTTTCTTTAAAAAAAATACTGATCCTCTTTTGTATGGGCAACACAATGTTCATTTTTATGTTTGCCACCATGTGACAGAATGTGAAGTGTGTGCTGCTGGTCTCTCTCCTGCGCTTCTGCCTCCAGTGGTGGTTGCTGTCTGGCTTTCCAACCCCTCCCTGAGGTGGCTGTGTTCTTCAGGGGCCTTGATGTCTTGCTGGGGTGCTTCTGTTCTCTGAGGGAACTGGCATCTTGCCTGGCAACGGCTGGAAGCAGCAGCACTCAGAGGGGTAAGCTCCTGATGGCCTGAACAGCGCTGGGGCATGGAAGGACAGGAGAAGACAGACACTTTGGGCTAGACAGCCCCCATCCCAGAACCCTGCCACTGTCACTGAGAAGGTGGACAGGTGAGCAGGGCTTTGCAGATGGTTGGGAGACAGCAAAGCACTCTGTGCTTGTTTACCTCCGGATGCTGTTGTCCTACCCTAAGCTTGTTCAAAACCCTTTTCTAAAACCCTGAATGAATGTCCCAGCTTTCCTATGAGCAGGGTATGCAGCATGCTTTGGCTTACTGTAATGTATCTTCCTTGGACTGAAGGGCCACACCTTCAGGGCACTGGACCCAGTGCTGGTGGGTCCCAGGGAGGCTCTCTGGAATAGCACCCCTGCAAGGCTGTTGTGGGTGTCCCAAGCAAGTGCAGATTCTGGTTCTACAGGCTGGTGGGGGCAGGAGTAGGAGACAACCCTGGGCCCAGATCTGGCCGTTTTTAGGTTCTGTTCCTGAGCAACACTGTGAGATCAGCGTCATCTACAGAGTGACCCCTGCACCAGGCTGCTCAGAAGACAGGGAAGCCCTAGTGAGAATGGTCCAGAGCTGAGCTGACATGGTCACCACAACACCACAGGACCTCCACCCTCCACTCAGAGGGTCCAGCTCTGCTCCTCTGTGTTGCCGAGTGACACAGGTGCATGCTGGCCTGCCCAGCCCAACCCAAGGGCCCACAGAATCACCGAGACACTGAGGAGGCTGGCTCCAGACACCCTGCGGCTGGCAGACACGGAAGTGGCTAGGGGCATCCAGGCTGTAGCCACGGTCACACACGTACAGGGCCACAGAGCCCATGCGAGTCCCGTTGAAGCGCACTGAGGCGTGTTTCACCTCCTCGGGCGGGCCACAGTCCACCTCTGTGAGGGGACAGGAGCTACTCTGACCTGGGGCTCTGCCCAAGCTCTGCCCACTCCTTTGCCTGACTGGACTGCAGGGCCAGCTCGCCCAGCTCCAGCTCCTGCCCGTGTGGATTAAGGTGCTGGACTGAAGGGAGCTGGGCATGTCTGCGTCTCCTTTTCTTCCCACTCTTGCCCTGCCCAACTCTTGGGGAGTCAGGAAGAAACTCTGTACCCTCAGCTCAACCCCCAGGCCTCTCACCTGCCTGGCACCAGCGGCCTGTGTACCCTGGTGGGCAGTGACAGGAGAACTCTGTGCCCAGATCCTCACAGGTGCCTCCATTCAAACACGGGCTCCGGAAGCAGGGGGATGGGACTGCAGGAATACATGAAGGTCTCCGTCACCATGGGGGTCCTGCCTCTGCCCCATGGGTCTGGCCAGCTCTGTCCAGCAGCCTGTCTCACACGTCCCTGGTGCCCAGAGCCTACCGATCTCACAGTGCCGCCCAGAGAAGCCTAGGGGACAGTCACACTTGTATTTGCCAATGTAGTGGAAACAGGTGCCACCGTTGTGACAGGGGCCTGAGGCGCATGAGTCCGGTTTCCCTGAAAGCAAAAGATATCCAGCAGGCTCAAGTGCTACAGTCTGCTTCCCTTGCCAGATGCCCTAATGCCCGGGCTGGGGCCTTCATGGGCAGGTTCCTGAGAATTGGTGCACAGCGGTCAGGCTGAGGGTTAGGCTTGTCCTCCCTGATGCTACCCAGCTGGCTTGGGCCCAGTATAGGACTTGCCAGTTACCACACCCGGGGGGGGGGGCACACCGATCTCACAGTGCCTCCCGGTGAAGAGGTAGGGGCAGCTGCAGTGGTACTCGCCGCCTGACTCCTTGCACGTGCCCCCATTCCGGCAGGGCCCAGAGCTGCACAGGTGTGGCCGGGCTGTGTGGAAGGGCAGAAAGGTGCGGTGAGTGCTGGCCAGCCTGTGGGGATGCAGAGGCCACAGCATCCTGGCCCTAGTGGGCCCGGCAGGTGCCTGCCGTGGGGGTGCAGTGTGCAGACTCCACTCAGACTCTGTGTGCTCATCTCTACCCCAGACTCCACGCAGAGCTGGCCTTCCTGGAGGAGAGCTGGCACACTGGCATTCAGCCACAGGGCACTGAGCCGCAGTGGATGCCGGCGTCTGCAGCAGGCAGCACAGGCATCATGTCTCTTGCTCTTGTGTCAGTGCATGTGCCTCTTTGGCTTCCAGCATTTCCTATACCTGAGGAGCTCAGGCAAACCCCGTGGCAGTTTCTACGTCAGACACATCAGCTGCCATTTGACAAACCACACCTTCTTGGGCCAGTGAGGTCAGAGTGCTGGGACCCGTCCTCTATAAGGGGCTGCAGCAACAGGAGGGCCTGCCTCTCCCCACACTGTGGCCACACCCTCGCCTCATCTGTTCCCCATCCCCAGGCGCCTCACAGGCTTCATGTTCAAGCTCCATGGTCCCACCTCAAAAGCAGCTACCTGTGGCTCCTGTGTGACCCCTTTGGGCTTGGAGCTGCACAGGTGTGCTTTCAAGAACCTGGAGCCCCTCTCCTACACTGCGGTAGGGGAAGTCATGGGGTTGCAGGAGTCCCTGTCCGTGCTTGTCAGAGAGGAGAGGTGCTGTAGGCAGGCTCCTAGGTGAGGCCAAAGTGGTTCTGACTTCCCAGGCAGCGGGGCCTGAGGGACTGCCCACGGGCCCTGAGCCAGGCGCAGGCCTCAGGCCTGCTGAGGGTGCCTCCAGCTAGCACACTTGCCACGGACTCGCGGCAGAATATATTCTGAGTTACCAAGTGCTGTAAGATGTACATTCTTCAAGCTGAATTATGTTTAGCAAAATCCTATGGAGTTAGTTTTTTTCTTTCTTTCTTTTTTTAAAATTTATAATTCCATGATTCTAAAATCTGTTTGGAAAAATGATAAGCCCCAAATAAAGCCTGTTGTAAGGAATGGAGATCAGCACGGGGGATGAAAGCAACAGTCAAGTTGGCGGGCACTGCCCTGAATAAGTGGAATAGAGCTCAATAGCACCTCACAAAGTCAAAAAAGCCACTGAGAGGGCCTTGGCGGACCAGAGCAGAACGGGCGGGCGCTGTCCATGGTGCCGACGCCGGCGCCCGCCCCGTGCCCCCACTCCTGCTCCCGCAGGAGTCCCCTGGGCCCGCAGACGCCCCCCCGGCCTTCCAGGGCCCTTGGGCCCCGGGGCGGGCCTCTTTCCCGGTTCGGCCCCCCCTTGGCTTGCCCTTTAGGAGTTCCCCCCCCACGCCAGCGCCCTTTTCTTGCACACCTTTCTCGCAGTGCCGGCCCTGGAACCCGCGCGGGCAGTCGCACGTGTACGAGTCATCGTGGGCGTTGCAGGAGCCTCCGTTGAAGCAAGGGTCTGAATCGCAGGGGGATGGCAGAGCTGCGGAGGCAGAGGGTGGTTCTGGAGCAGGTGCCTGCGGGGTCACGCAGACAGCCTCCCAGGATGTCCTCATTCCTCACAAGAGCTCCAAGGCCGGGCCGGAGTACCTTTCTCCTCATTTTAGCAGAATGCACCACTGATCTGTGACATTAATGTCTTATAGCTCGTTGTCAGCGGCATTATAATTATACATCACGTATGTGGTCATCTTTACACTAACAGATATGCAGTAGCAGAAGTAATTACACATAATTAGGTATGTAGCAAATATTTAACAGCTTGGGAAGGGCTGAGGAAGAGGGTGCATAGTGCTGGTGGCCTGGTCCAAGTGCTGTTCCACCTGGGACCCCTGACATTCCTCCCACCTTACAGGTGTGACTGGCCTGAGGCCCCTCCACTTGCAGGTTCTCTGGTCACCAGGAGGCCTGCTTCGCTGCCCTTCCCCAGGCCTCCCAGCCCTGGTCTCCGTGGGGGCCCAGCCACTCACAGTGGCTGATGTTGTGATCCGTGTGGCAGACGCAGAGGTAGCTCCCACCATACTCCATGCAGTAGCCCCCATCTGGGCACTGGGTATTCATGTTGCAAGGTGTGGCTGTGACTTCTGCAGGAGAGGGGAAGCCCCCCTTGTCTGCTGCCCCTCTTACTGTGTGATCTTGTGTCCTGGACGAGAGTGGGGCCCTGGCCCAGTGCTCCACCAGGGTGACTGACGGGGCACCCCTGGGGCCACCTGCCCATGTAGGGGTGGGGTCAAGGGTCTGAACCATTCCTACACTGGTGATGGGATGCCCAGGGACAGGACAGGCAGGTGCCCACTCCCCCAGCCTCTGGCACCTACCAAATTCACAGAGCAGCCCAAAGAAGCCTGGTGGGCACTGGCAGAGGGTAGTGTTGGTGCCCAGGCACCTGCCTCCATTGCGGCATTCACAGTCATTGTGGGTTCCTGTCATGGAGCAGAACGATGTCCCCTCTGTGGGGCTGCAGGAAGAGGAGCCCCTTTCTAGCCCTGCCAGACCCCAGTCACCCTCCCATTAAAGCCACAGTGCTCACACAACACTCTTAACAGCCCGCAGGAGGACCCTCCCTGGCTGTGCTGCCATATGTGGCCCTGGGTCTCCTGCCCCACCCAGGGACACTGCCCAGCAGTCCCAACGCACTCTCCCTGCAGTCCAGGCCCATGAAGCCTTCCGGGCACTCGCACACGTAGCCCTGGTCTGCATCCACACATGTGCCCCCATTCTGACAAGGTGCTGAGAAGCAGGCATCAGGCACTGGGTGGCTTCCTACAAGAAAGAGCAGTCATCAGAGGCCACCGGGGTGGCATGGAGCAGAGTCTGAGCTTAGGTGGGAAAAGGAGCTGCCCAGTTCCCACACCTGTGTGCCCACCTCCATTCTCAAGCAGAGGTTTCCCTGGAAACTGATTTATAGCTGCTGTGTCCCTGAGACGCAGCACCTAGACTCCTTGGAAAGAACCAGCAGTCCTGCAGCCCACCCAAGCCAGGGGCCTCTGGACAGTCCTACAAGCAAAGCATCAGGGGTTTCCTAGTACTTTTCTGTTGATGGCTTTTACTTTGCTGCGGCCAGAACACAATCTTCTCTAGTTACTGAGCCTCACTGATTGATTAACTGATTGATCGATTGTGCTGCTTGGTATTGAACCCAAGGTCTTCACACTGAGCTACGTTGCTAGCTGTTTTAATATTTTGAGACAGGGGCTTACTAAGTTGCCTAGATTGGGCTCCAACTTGAGGTTCTGCTGCCTCAGCCTCCCAGTGCTGTCCTGTTCTGTGTGGCTCCGTGTGGCCCATCATTGTGTGCCACGAGCACCTAAATGTTCAACACTCTTTGAATGTCAGGACAAGTTTAAGTGTAAACCTTAGTGATTTTCTGCTTGTGTTCTGTGAATTGCCAAGTCTCTAATTTACATGCAGACATGCCTTCTCTTTGCAGTCTGCTAGCATGTGTTCCCACATGTGGCAGTGTTAGTGGGCATGAGGAGGTACCAGTGTATTTGGGGTGTGCTCTGATGTACGAGTCCTTTGACATAAAAAGGTTCCTCTTCCCTCCTGCTAGTGTTCCATGCTCTGTAGTCCACATTATCTAAGATGAAAGCAGCCACTCCAGCCTTCTCTTGATTGGTGTTTGCCATTGTTTCTCATTTCAAATTTTTATGTACTTCCAAAATTTATCTTTGCAAACTAGTATACAGTATACCTGACTTGACTTTGGTGTACACGGCTGTGACTTTTAGCACATGGTTAGGCATGTGGAGCCTTGGTCACAGTCATCTGGTGGCCCCAGAGCCTCCCATGTCCTCCTTCCTCACAGTCTCAGACTCCGCCACCCCTGAACCCTGGACTGCCGGCCTGCTCATCACCATGGTGTCACCTTTTTTTTTTTGAGACAAGGTTTCACTAAGTAGTTCAGGCTGGCCTTAAACTCACTTGATCCTCCTGTCTCAGCCTCCCAAGTGCTGGGATTACAGGCATGCAGCACCACACCTGGCCTATGGTGTTGCTTTTTCAAAGAGGCCCTGTAAATGGAACTGCACCATGAGGGTTTGGTCCCACGTGTCCCTCCAAAGCTCCTGTGCAGAAAGCCTGGTCCTTGACTGATGGCATTGTTGGAAGTGCTAGAAATTTAGGAGTGGGACGAGGTAGTCCCTGGGGATGTCCGCTAAGGACACACTGAGATGTGGCCTCTTCTGTGCTCTTTCTATTTGCTTCCTGGCTTTAGAAAGGAGGAGCTTTCTCCCATCACATCCCCCACCTGATGCCCCGCTTGGCATGGGCCCAGGACCGCAGGCCAATGACCATAGATCGAGGTCTCTGAAACTGTGAGCCAAGATGAGTCTTTCTTCCTTGTGAGCTGATCTCAGGCATTGTGTCACAGCCATGAAACCCAAGTAACAACACGTGGAGTGTGATCTCTGGAGGTCAGTTTCTTTCAAATAGTGCAGTGTCTCTGAGACCCAGTTGAGCTATGCATAGCAATATGTAGTCTAACTTCAGATCCTTCTCCCCCCATCCCACTGATTATGTAGGATCCCCTCTGGTGGTAACACGTGGTCCCCACTGAGTCTCAACACCCAGCAGTGTGCTTTCTCAACATGGATTCTTTTACAATATTGTTTTGGTCATTCAAAGTCCTTTTACTTTCCCCACAAATTTTAGAATCAACTTGCCTACATCTGCAAAGGAAAGCTTGCTGATATTTTGGTTGGAATGACTTCATTTATTTTTTAATCTTTATTTATGTATTTGGTACAGGGTCTTGCTGCACAGCTCAGACTTGTAATGATCCTCCTGAGTCTGCCTCCCCAGTGCTGGAATTACAATTGTGCGCCATCACGCCTGGTTTCAGTGACCAGCGGGGTATGGGGCCTGCATGACATGCAGTATCAGGATCAAACCCAGGTCCTTGCACTTGCCAGGCAGGCGCTTAGACCACCGAGCTATTTCCCTGGCCCTGGAATGACTTTATATTCATTAATCAGTTTAGAGAGAACTGACCTTTAGTATGTTGGTCTTCTTTTCCATGAATATGGTATGTCTGTTCATTTACTTAGATGTCTGATTCCTTCATTAGTATTTTCTAGTTTTCAGCATGCAAATTCTGCATGTTTTATTAAGTTCATTTCTAAATCTTCTACCTTTGGGAGCTTTTGCAAATGTTACTATCTTTAAAACCTTGGGTCGGGTTATGCATGTGTGGCTGGGGCAGCTTGAGGGTTCTGGAGTTGCTCTCCCAAGACCACCGTCTCTACCACCTGCAGGGCCTCTCTGGGCTCCCCTTTCTGGTCCTCTGGGCTTCAATTGCCTCACCCTGCCACTTGTTCCTGGTGGCCGTACTCAAGGCTATGCAAGCAGGAAGAGGGTGGAGAAAGAGCAAAACACAGAAGTCTGCGCCCCCAAAGCCGCAGTGCCTCCACCTAAGAGGAAGGCGCCTCTGCCCTGCTGGTCCTGCTGCCTGAGCCTGACTGAAGCCTTCTGGGCTCGAGGTGCTGGGGTTCAGTTCTGGTCTCTGGTGGCTCTGAGTCTAGGCTGGGAAGACACCAGAGCAAAACAGATAAACTGGCCACTGGCCTCGTGGTTCTTCAGGGTACAGCTCTCGCCTGCTTCTGTTTACTTTCCAGAGCTCATGTCTTCCATGCAGGCCTTACAGCTGCATCCAGGGCAGACAGGCATCACACGGTGCCTCTGTCTCACCAGAACCTGTCTGTTGCTTTTGAGTGAGCTGCACCCTTATATGTGGAGTGGGTTTCCTTAAACTCTGCAGTTCAACTGGTATGCTTAACCTTTTTACATTTTAATGTATTTGCAGATATGACCTGAACTTGTCACCTTGGTGTTCATATTTATTTATTTATTTTTACTGAGAAAAAGACTATATATTTAGCATTAGCCAGCTGGACTCATTTAGATGATCCCAATTTTGTTGGCAACATCCAGTGCATCATAATTAGGAGCCATTCAAACATGTGCCTTCTTCTCTCCATCAGGCCTGATTAGGGTATTGACCTTGGCAACATCGATGTCATGGAGCTTCTTCACAGCTGGTGTGGTCTGGTGCTTATTGGTTTTGCCATCCACAATGAACATGAGTGTGTTGTTGTCCTCGATCTTTTTCGTGGCTGACTCTGTGGTCGGGGGAACTTGATGATGGCATAGTGGTCAAGCTTGTTTCTCCTGGGGGCGCTCTTCCGAGGGTATCTGGGCTGCCTCCGGAGCTGCAGTGTCTTGGGACAGCGGAAGGTGGGCGACGAGTTTCTTCTTTTTGTGGCTGTGGATGCCTTCCAGCATGGCCTTCTTGGCCTTCAAAGCTTTTGCTTTGGCTTTAGCTTTGGGAGGGGCAGGGGCTTCCTTCTCCACCTTTGATGTCATCTTGGTAAAAAGGCCTGGGGTTTGTTTTTCTTTGTCCTACTTCTCTGTTGCTTTTGTTTTTTCTTGCTTCTGGATTAAATAGTTTTAGGATTCCTTTCTACCTTGGTTTGTTGGATATAACTTTTTTTTTTAATTGTTGCTGCATGGTCCACAGTGTTTATCTTGTACTTATACCACTTCAATCAACATTACGTCACTTTCTATGAGGACTGTTCCATATCATACTTTCTTATCTTCCTGTATATCGGCCTTCAGGCCACATCCCACCTGCCACCATCATCAGTGATAAGCTTCGATGGCGACACAGCTACACCTTCACCTGGGCACTGTCTGTGGCTGCTGCTCTCCTGCGGCAGTGGCAGAGTGGCAGTGGTGTGGCTTGCCAGGCCCAAAGGCTTTATCTGGCCCTTTATAGAAAAAATACCAATTTTATTTCTAAATATGCTGTCACTTTATTCTTCTTTTTGGAACTGGGGATTGAACTCAGGCCTTTGCATTTGCCAGGCAAGTGCTTATTCTACTGAGCTATCTCCCCAGCCCCTATCACTTTATTCTTAAAATAAAAATTATTTAAAATTTATCTATAAAAGGTTTTTTAAAGAAAGTTTCTTACCCATAGTTGGTAATTTCTAACACTTAGTTCATTGATTAGATCCAAATTTGTAACATTTTTCTTCTGTCTAAAGAAGTTTTCTTTATCATCTTTTGCAACACAAGACAAGCGCTCTTGATTTGTAAAAGAAAACTCTTTCACCTTGATTTCTGAAAGCAGATTTGCTGGGTGCCATGTGCACTCCAGGTCGCTTTGTTTCCTCAGTGCTTTCAGGATGTTGCTTCAGTACCTCCTGGTGTGGCTCCCCAGGAGCATCCTGCTGCCATTTTTGCTGGTTTAGAGGCCTGTGATGTGGCTTTTCCTTCTACTGTTTTTGGTGGTACTGGGGAAAGACCTACACTTACTCCACTTAGACAGAGTCTTGCCATGTTGTCCTGGCTTGCCTTGAGGTTGCAATTCTACTGCCTCAGCCTCCTGAGTAGATGGGATTACTGGTGTGCACCATACCCAGCTTATTGTTTTGTATTTGCTTTTTGCAGATAGTTTCTTTATACTGCTGGGGCTGCCCTTGAACTCAAGTGAGGTCAAGTGATTCTCTTGCCTCAGCCCCCTGAGTAGCTGGGAACACAGGCAAATGTCCCTGTGCTTGGTCTGTTCTGTTATTATTACTATTATTATATTAATTTCTACTTGTATAGTGACTTTATGCAAAACATGATTTTTATGAAAAAATCTTTCGAAAGCACTCACCTGCTTTTGACCCATATTTGGTGAAATACACTGGTCTGGAAACAGCCCCCGAGAAGGGTGCGCTGTGACACTCAGCAGAGCTGGGCGCCCCACCCTCCGAATGCGTGGCTGACAGACCAGGGAGGGCTGGGCTGGCTCGTGCCTGACCTGTGGGGGAAACTTCCTCCTCTGCTTTAAGGCTCAGAATGAGTCTGAGCAGCCCGAGGAGCCACACAGCACAGGGGATGGCGGCAGCACACTGCAGGGTTTCACTGTGTGTCGGTACGTTGTTCTTTCTAAGCCCCGGCTGGCCTTACACAGATCAGGAAGCGCTGATCAGGGTTTAAGCTTATGGAGCAGCCAGGAGAGAGGCTCAGCCCTCCTTTTCACACACAGGGAAAGCAGTTTTCTTTCTGACCCATGCTCTTTCCCCTGCACAGCAGTGGTGGTGGTGGCTCCCAGAAAACCGAACTGAAGGGGCTCAGGGCGTTCTGTCCCCTCTCCTGAAGGTCACAGATGGAAACCTCAGTGCTGCACACAGCAGGACCAGGGCTGGGAAGCAGGCCAGGCAGAGCACCCAGTGCAGCGTCCCGCGGGGTGGGAACAGGAGGCCCATGGTGGGGTCCTCGGGTGGTTTGTGTGGTGCTACCTGTCTCACAGTGAGGTCCAGCAAAGGGTTCCGCACACACGCAGCTGTAGTTGCCTGCCAGGTCCACGCAGGCCCCTCCATTTAGGCATGGGTCCGAGCGGCACTCGTCCACATCTGGGGCAGCAGAGGTGGGGCTGGGTGGGAGCCCCAACCCTGCCCCTGCTACCCAGTGCCTGTCCCCAGCAGCCACTCACCTGTCTCACAGGAGGCCCCTGTGTACCCAGGCTGGCACACGCACACTGCAGAGCCGCTCTTGCCCTGACACTGGCCGCCATTCTGACACTGTTTGTCATCACACAGGGACTGGGCTGCAAGAGAGGAGGAATGCACAGAGCGCTGGACTCTGGGCTGCGGTGTCCAGTGGCAGAGGCCTTGGGGATGCCCAGGGCACCCACTGCAGCACAGCTGGCTCACTGCACAGGCAGGACTGGTTGTTTGTAGGGTGGCAGACTGGGAGGGGCCTGGCAGGGCTGTGGCCACCTGCAGCTCTGTACCAACTGGGTTCTGCTTCTGCTGGTTAGAGGAGGACATGGGAGGGGAGGCTGCAGCCCAGTCCTCACCATGTGGCAGATGGGTCCAGAAGGGCTGGAGCCAGGCTCCTGCTCTAGGCTGAGCACCTGGGAAGGCGGCCTCCAGAAGGAAGAGCAACCTCAACCACACGCAGCTCTTGCTTGCTCCATGAGCATCCTCTGGGTATCTCCCATAGGCTCCAGTCCGCCCTGGCCACCCTTTATAGGCAGCACCCACTGAGAGGGAGGCGGGACCCCCAGGGTTCCCCTGGGCAACCCTGCCACCACCATTGCGCCATGGATACTTTGTCTCCACAGCTTCGCGGAGGAGGCTGAGGCCCAGCAGGGCCAGGCCTCTGCCTGGAGAATACCTCTCCTGGAAATGTGCTTTGCCCTCTGTCCCTGCACTGTCAAACTGAGGGGCCACTACGTGGACTGATACCATGACCTCTAAACACCGTGAGTAAGTCCGTCCTACTAGATGGCCATTCCCCGTTTCCCTCGCCCCTGAGACCACATCCCGGCTCGGCCGTGTCTGCAGAATTCCGTCTTGGTGCGTTGCTGTGCATAGACTTGCCCTGCCATTCGGCTGTGGTCCTTTCCAGTGAAAATCCATGAGTACACCGAGGTTAGCCTCAGCGTCCTATGGCTGTGTCTGCAGTGCTTGTCCAGGCTGAGACACTGATGTGGCTGACTGAACACCTTGCTCTGCAGTCTGTCGCTGTGCATGTCTTCATGCAAGGCTTGCTCCATGGCCGTGAGTGCTCGGGGGCTGAGCTGGGGCAGTGGCAGTTGCAGAAGTCCAAGAGCTCCTTCTGCCCAGTTCCCTGAGTAGCACCACCTGGCAAGGCACCTTACCACTGGGCAGGCAAGGTGAGGGCAGGGCCTGAAGGCGGGTAAATGGATGCAGTCTCACAGCAGCTGCATCAAAGGAGCTGGGCTCTGGAGGTGCAGTGGAGGTGGAGCCAGGTGGGGCAAGACCCCCGTCCCTGGGGCAGCTGAGCAGGGAGTGGCAGGCCTGCGTCCAGATGTGGCTGTGATATCCACTCTTAGTTGCCTCCCTGGCCCCAGGAGCTAGCTGCTGCCCTCTCAGTGAACCACTCCAGGCATCTCCTGCCCCACCCGCAGAGCTCTCTGGGCTTCCACATCTGTCTACAGCTGCAGGGCATGGGGCTGGTGGGGTCCTCTTACCTGACTCACAGGTGGGGCCCCTAAAGCCGGCTGGGCACTCGCAGCGGAAGCTGTTAACACCGTGAGTGCAGGTCCCACCATTCTGACACGGGTGTGAAGCGCACTCGTTCATGTCTGAAATATGGGCAGTGCAGGACACAGGGACAGATGGGTGCCCAGGATGCCAGCATTTGCCCTCTCTGCTCACTACCCCAGGGGCAGCCACACATCGTGGCCTGGCACCCTTCAGCTGGGGCCACAAGGCCACCGTCTGTGCCTATAGCTTCTCCTGAGCCCAGTATAGCCAGCGGTCCCTCTGTGAGTGCCCTGTCCCCACCCAGGCCAGCGACTCACCCAACTGGCACCTCCGCCCTGTGAAGCCTGCGAGGCAGGAGCAGGTGTAGGAGGGGTTGCCAGTGACACAGTCATCGATGCACTTGCCACCATTGAGGCAGGGGCGCAGGGCCAGGCACACGGAGGCTGTGGGCACAGGAAGGAGCCCGAGCCTCAGGTGCCACTCCCAGGACGGGCAGCACAGCCACTCACTGCAGCCACATCTCCACTCCCTCCCCAGCCCAAAGGGCCAATCTGCAGTCACATGTTGGGGAGTGGCAGGGTCATAGGTCACTACCTAGACCTGTTCGGGGGATGCCCGGTGTGGCTGGGGTTGTGCCCACTAGGGGAGGATTCTGAGCTTAACTCTGGCCTCCTGTGGAGCAGACCATCCAGAACGACTTCTACCCCAGCTCCTGCCTAACCCTCCCACCTTTCCCAGCTTGGGCACAGCCCTTCTAGACATGCAGCCTGCTTGGCCATCCCCCTGGTTTCCAATATGGAAAGTGGCACCAGTCCCCAGGGAAGCAAGGCTGCTGAAGGGGCGACTCGTAAGTACAGGCTGGCTGAATGTGCCTAGCCCTTGATGGCTGGTGCAGGGAGTGCCGGCTCTTGGATAGCTCCTACTCCCCTCTCCTTTCTGTTCATTTCTCCTGCTCCCACTGCCTGTGGCTGGGCCCCAGCAGGAGCCAGCCTTCTGCCTGGACTGCAGGTAGGCACCCTAATCTCAGGTACACACCCCTCCTGCTTCCTGATGAGGCCCTTCCCCACAAGGCGGGTGTCCCCACGGGGCTCTTCTGTTTGTCCCAGAGACCTGGGCACCGGGGTCAAGCCTTGCACTCTGGGATGGGGTCCTGAGGTTCAGCCTGCAGCTTCTTTGGGCAGCATGGTGTGCCCATGCCGCACTATTCCTCAGCCCCACTCCCCAGGACTCTGGCACTTGCTGGGTACCCTGACCTCACCACCTCCACTCACGCAGAGCAGCTGCAACCACCACCACTCACCAGACGGCCGGCTGCAGGGGGCACGTGGCTCTGCGCTCTTAGGTGCCTGGCTTGGAACACACTGCCCTTCAAGCCCCTCACCCCCTAAGCTCAGACTCAAGCTGGATGACTCATGCCCCAGGGTCTGGGCAGCCTGGGCTTCCCAGGCCTCTCTCTGTGGCAGCAGGCACAGGCCACAGCACTGTGGTGAGGCTCTCTACTGGGCCTCTGAGCTGGTCTGGGGTCCACAGTGCTATTTACAGCTGGGTCTCTGTGACCCAGACTAGGTCAGGCTGATGATAAGCACCCCTCACAAGCAGCTGTGTGGTCCCTGGCCCTCCCCACCCCCATGATGGCCTGGCTCAGCACAGGTGATGTTGTGCTATCTGCAAGCCACAAGGCCCCAGGGTCTGAGACCCAGAAGTCAACCTGGGGGTGAGCAGGGATGACCTGCTCCACCCTCCCCTGGGTACCCAGGGCTCCACACACGGAAGTTGCCTGGCCTAGGGTGTCCCCTGGGCCCCAGCAGAGGCTTGTGGGCCTCTCTGCGGGGACAGGCTAGGGGCCAGCATGACTCTCCTAGGTCCAGCCTGGCACTCACCCTCCTCCCACCCAGCATCTCACCCTTCCCACGGAGCCTCATGCCCGTCCTCTTACTTGTATGGCCGCAGCCCCCCACGCGCACCTGGGCATCATCGATTCTGAACGCCCAGCGCCCGGGCACGCCCACGTTGGTGGTGGCCTCCACCTCGGCCATATCAGCTGTGCGTGAGCCAGGAATATTGAAGTAGCGTCGCCCGTCGCCTGCATTAAAGCCTGCCTGGGTGGGGAAGGGAGCATGGGGTCTCCTCATCATTCCAATAACCTTAGGTCCCCAGATGACTGAGGTCAAGGATGACGTGGGAGATGATCAGTGGGGCCCTACAGATGATGGGGTGCACCAGCCAGGACCTGGATGGCCTTCCCCAGGCTACAGGCCTCTCTTGGGGGAGCAGCAGGGTTGCACAAGGTAGGGCTTCCTGCCCAATCTGCAGTAGTCATTAGCCTGGGCAGGGAACCAGGTCAGCAGGGAGCTGCCATCAGGCCCGTGAAGACTGTGTGGTCCAGGTAGTAGTCAACCTGAGGGCATCTCATCCCATCCTCTGCACAGGTCCAGGGACTTGCCTAAGGTGACCCCAGCTCAGAATGGGCTGGCAATGGGGAGCAGGGCTCCGGAAGCCTACCTGGGCCGCGATACCCCCCAGGCCGGTGGCATCACCCCCACTGCTGGCATGTGTGCCCGTGGTCCAGGTGATGGACTCATAGTTGAAGATGGTGAAGGAGATCTTGCCGTCGGTGATAAGTATGGTTTGGAATGTGTTGACCTGCCAGAAAGAGAGGGCTGGTGGGCTGTCCTGCATGTCTCGTGTCCACAGCTGCCTCCTGCTGGACAGCCAGCCAAAAGGACCTCGAAGGCCTTGTTGGCCAGTACAGGGCCCACTCTGCTCCCTTCACTGCTCCTGGGGCTTGAAATGAGTGCACAATGCTCACTGGGTAAGAGGCAAGGACAGGACTGGGGTGTTGTCGCCATCCCCAAGGGCCTGGCCCATTTGCTGTGATCAGGATTATCTTCGGTAGACCCTGCCCACCATCAGAGGATCCTTAAGAAGTGTAACCTAGCAAGTAGAGACTCTGAGTGGTGCCTCATCCTGTCCTCCACCTTGGGAATTGGCACTGGCCTGGGCGCGTGTAGCCCAGTACCAGCCACAGGTCTGTTTGAGGGAGCCAGCCCCTCTGTGCCCTCCAACCTGGGTAGCACTCTTGCTCTTGTGCTAGTGTGCCTGCTGCCTGCATCAGCCTGGAGAAAGACACTGAGAGACAGGGGCCCCAGTAGTGCTGCCCCATCCCTGACCCTCTGGACTCCAGTCTCCTCAGCTGTGCACCGTACAGTGGGTATCTGGGGGTGCACCAAGGGCTGAGGAGCATGAGGCCCCTCCCACTTGCCCCAGCTCTGCAACCTCAGCCTAGTGACCTGTGTGGGTCCCAGGCCATCTATTCCTTGGGTGTGGACACTGAGGGCCCTGGCCAGTCCTCACACCCCCTGTCAGGAACCATAGCCACACTCACTGGGGAGGAGGAGCTGCCTCCAAAGAAGGTCACTTGGTACCATGTAGCGATGAAAACCCAAGTGGCTGAGAAGTCCGGGAGCTCGGGGAAGTAGCGTCTGATGTCTGTGGTGGCTCTATGCAGTGTGGCCAGGTCGGTGGCCTCCCGGTAGTACACGTCACCTGCGCGCCGGTTGTCCACATCCGCCCAGAAGGCCGCCACCACGCAGCGGTCCTTGGCGATGGGGAAGGCCACGGGTGTGAACTGAGAGACCTCCTTCAGGAAGGAGATGATCCCGTTATTGTTCACCTGTGAATGGGAAGCCGAGGGCTGCGCTGGGCTGGGCCCCGGTGCAGCTCTGCCGGGCCCAGCTCTGTCTCTCACAGCCATGGGCGTGTTTCCCAGAGCACAGCCCTGCCTGCCTTTCCTGCTTGGGGTGCTCACCAACAGCACTGCCACAGGCTTCCATGTGTACCCACATTCACATTTGGCATCCTCAGGCCCCAGGGGATGTGTCAGGTGGGCATTAGGTCATGATACTCTCAAGAATGGGAAGAGTGTCCTCATGGAGGAGCCTTTCTATGTGAGGACAGCCTCCCTGTCATAGAATCTGACAGGGCCTTGTTCTTGGGCTTCCTGTCTCCAGAACTGTGAGAAACAAGCCTCTGTTGTTCATAAGCTTCCCAGGCTAAAGCAGTTTGTCACAGGACCTTAGGTGGACTGAGACAGCAGCTCTGTCTACAGAGGGTAGACATTTCTCCAAAGAAGACATGCCAACTGTCAGTAAGTCCACAACGAGATGCTGACCACTACTCTTCACTTGGAAGCACAAACCGAAGCTCTGGGGTGCTGCCATTCACATCCTAGAAAGGTGGCTATAAAACAGCAGCTCAGAAAGTCACAGGGTGACCACTTCTGTGGAGAAACTGGAAGCCTTTTGTGATGCTGGGGTGGGAGGCGTAAAGTGGTGCAGACACTGGGAATGAAGTGGTGGCTCCTCAGCAAACGGAGGGCAGAGTTCCCTTTGATACAGCTATGTGTTAGCCACATCCCCAGCATTGCCATTCAGAGTAGCTAAAAGCTGGACCCAACTGAAGAACCCACTGAGGAAAAATGGAGAAACATAAGGTGGCATTTGCAAAGGGTGGGACGCTGCTGTCTCAACAAGGCAGAACATCCTGATTACATTCATGTGGATGAGACTTAGATATCATAAGTGTCATAAGCCAGTGACCAACAGCCAGCATCATACTAAATGGTCAAAAATGAAAGTTTTCATTCTAAAATCAGGAATAAGGTAAGGATATGAAAATGGCCATATTCCCAAAATTGTTATACAGATTTAATGCAATGCCAATCAAAACACCAACAGCATAATTCATAGAACTAGAGAAAAATGATTCTAAAATTCATTTGGAACCAGAAGAGACCTAGAATAGCAAAAGCAATTCTTGGCAGCAAGGCACGGTGGGTAGGGGGAGTCACAATCCCTGACTTGAAATTACACCGCAAAGCTACAGTGATTATGAAAAGCATGGCACTGGCAAAACAAACAAACACAGACCCATGGATCAGTGGAGCAGATTAGAAGATGTAGAAACAACTCTAAACACACTCAGTCACCTTGTCTTTGACAAAGGAGACAAATACCTTCACTGGGAGAAAGATAGCCTCTTTAATAAATGGTGCTAGCAAGACTGGCTTTCTAAGCTCATATCTTTCACCATGCATTAAACTCAACTTGAAAGGGATCGAAGATCTAAATATTAAAAGAGAAAAACTAAAACTTCTGAAAGAGAACAGGTAGAACTCTTGAAGACATAGATACAGGCAAAGACTTTATGAACAAAGTCCTGATGGCACAGGAGCAACCACAAAGAACCAACTACTAGCATCTCATCTTATTAAAAAGGTTCTACACAGCAAAAGAAACCTTGTTTCTTTTCATCACAGAGTGAAGTAACAACCCATACCATGGGAAAAATAGTTCTGGCAGCTGTTCCTCAGACAAAGGACTAACATTTATAATATGTAAAGAACTAAAAAAAGTCAGATCCCCCAAATTTGAAGACCTAATCCAAAAATGGGCACCTCAATGAATAGACACTTCTCAGATGACAAGAAGAAAGGTCAAAAATGTTCAACATCACTGATGACCGGCGAGATGCAAATCAGAACAACACCAAGGCTCCACTTCACTCCAGAAAGACTGGCTGTCACTGAGAGACCAACCAATACCAAGCGCTGGCAGTGGGGATGAAGAGACCTTTCTCCGCTGTTGGCGAGTGTAGACTGCTGTGACACTGTGGAGATTCCTCAAAAAACTAAAACTAGGAGTTCCCCATGACCCAGCTGTTCCCCTTCTTGGTATCCTGCCAAAAGAATTTAAAACATCATGGCATAGCTATAGATGCACAGTCATGTTTATAACTGCAGTCTGAATAACCAAATCCTGGAAATAGTCCAAATGCCCATCAACAGACAAATGGATAAAGAAGATTTTTTAAATACAATGGAGTACTATTCTCCCATAAAGAAGGATAAACTTGAAATATTTCTAGGTAAACAGATACACTTTGAAACCACACTCTTAAGTGAAATAAATTGGACACATGTGTTCAAGTGTCACATGGTTTCTCTGGTGAGAGAACTTGGAAGGGTAAAGACCAAAATATATAATAGATATTATGAAATAGAAAATGTTTACATGGAAGAGGGACTAGAAAGGGGAAAGGGGTAAGGAAGGAGGGGAAAGAAAAAAGGAAAACAAACAATGGAAACAAAGCTTTTACAAATAAGGAGGTGGAAGGAACAGGAAAGGGAAGGGAAAACACAGACAAATCGAGATACATCCCATGCAAGGACAAATTCCCTAATGATGAGTGCTATCATTATGTATATCTAAAGCATACCAATAAAAAGGAGAAAGCCTAATTTCTGTACAGTCATTTATATAATCATTAATTTTATTTATATAATCATTAATATACAATTTGATATCTCTAATTTTATGTAATCATTCAAGAAGGTACGTAAGTTTTCAAAATTGTCCCACCAAGAACACTTTTTTTTGTTTTTGTTTTTTGTATTCTTTAGGGACAGGTCTACAAGGTGTTCAGGGTCTCACTACTAGATTGGACTTGAAGTCATCCACCTGTTTACAGCCTCCCAAGAGCTGGGATTACAGGCATGTGCCACCATGCCCAGTCTCAATTGCTGTCTCAGCACCCCCGGGGGGTGGGGCCAACACGGCAGGCTGAGGACTGAACCCCTATCCCCTGCACCTGCTCGCAGGTGCTTTAATCCACAGAGCTATTTGGCCAGCCCTAGAAATGCTCTTGAGTCATATGACAGTACTGTGTTTAAGAGAGAAACCAGTCCATAAACTTTTCACATAAAGAGTCCATGCCTTGAGCCTCACCCAGCCCTGGTGTGACGCCTCATAGGGGTGGCATCTGGGAGGCAAGCTATGTCCATCCCCCTTGTAGAGCTGCCAGACCCTCACAGGCATTGGCAAGCTGGACCCTGCAGTCCATGCATATGACAAATTAGTCATCATTACCAGGCTGGGATGCGGTAGTAGTAGGAGCCATGCTTTACAGTAGAAAACCAATTCATTTAATGTGTCGTGAAATTAATCTCATGAATTTAAATTACTAATTTAATGGACTGAAGGAGAAAAATCATAGATCATTTCTCTAGACATAGAGAAGGCATCTAATGAAGCATCTGTGGGTAAAGGCCCTGAGTACTCAGGATGCAAGGGACAGTCTTATTTATTTATTTATTTATTTATTTAATGTATTTAGGACAGGGTCTCCAGGGTTTCACTACGTAGGTCAGACTCATAGTGCTCGTCCTGTTTTCAGCCTCCCAAGTGCTGGGATTACAGGTGGGCACCACCATGCCCAGTCTCAATCGACGTCTCAGCAGGCCCCGGGGGCGAGGTTAGCATGGCATGCAGGGGATTGAACCCTGGTCCCTGTGCTCTGTCTAAGTAGGTACTTTAGTCCTCTAGGTATATGGTTGGTCCTGGACAGTCTTAGTCTGACGCGGGTGACTCCAATGGCAGTGAGAGCCATGGCACTCCTTGTGCTTGGGCTGTCGGAAGGTCTCGGCCCCAGGCAGGTAGGACAATGAGCCGAGAAGTCACAGGGTTGGAATGAAGGAGCACAGCCGCTCTGAGTGGCACCTGACGTGAACATGGGCGTGGACGTGCAGCTGGGCACTATACTAGGATTCAGCATGTGTTTGGTTGTTAGACATAAAATGAAGAAGTGTAGAAAGTCCTCTGTGATTCTACTGCACACTGGCAATAAATAGAAAGTAAAATCAAAGAAAGGATTTTTTTTTTTGTACTGGGGATTGAATTCAGGACCTTGTGCTTGCCAGACAGGTGCTTATGCCGCTGAGCTACCTCTCTGGCCCAAAGGAACTATTTACAGTAGCATAAAAAATCAAGTATCTGAGAATCAATCTAAGAAAGATGGAAAAGACTCTACAGTCAGGGTTCAGGCTCACGGGAAGCGCTGAGGGTGACCCGAGAAACAGTAGAAAGGCTCCCTTTCCTTGGACAGGATGAGGGCTGTGTGGTGGGAGTCTGGGTGGATGCCCCAGGGCAGGGTCCACCTTGGGGGTGATGCAGGGCCTCCACTGGGGGCCCTGGCGCCCGCCCTACATCTGTTTGTCCCTGCACTTTATGTCCAGAGCCCTTGTCTGCACATCTTAGAGGGCACAATGGCAAGGCGCCGCCACACGAAGGCAGTATGGCCAGGCTGGGCAGGGCCCCTGCCTTGAGGTCCCTGGGGTCAACACAGCCACCTGCAGGGCAGGGCCGTCCCTCTGTGCCCTGCCTTCACGGCCCCACCTGCTGACCACACCTGCCTGCCCCTGCTCACCCTGGGTGGTGCGCATCGAGCCTCCTGCCCACCAGGTTCAGCTCTCCTCTGCCTCACCCAACTGCTGCTGCCTTCCCCCTTGGCAGGGTGGGGTGGACCAGGCCTGGAGCCTTGGGTCGAGGAAGGAGGCAGAACAAGTCTGCCCTGTTCCCCTGCCAGGTCTAGGCAGCGCTGGGCCCACAGCACAGCGGGCAGTGTGGCCTGGGCGCTCAGCTGCTGGGAGCCTCCCGGAGGTCTCCAGACCAAAGAGCTGGGCTGTAGGTTGGGTCCTCGGAGCAGCTCCTCTCTGCTGGCACTGCGTCCATCTCCTTCCACCAAATATCAGCTTTACTGACTTGCAGCTTGTGCTTGCAACAGCACCTTGTAAAACACACAGTTCAGACAGGGAAAACAAGGAGACACAGTGAGACT